GCCATTTTCATCCTCAGTCTCGGACTCGAGCATGAGCTTAGCCAATTGCTTTGCCAATCCAATCGGGCAGTTCTCGGCAAAGCTGCTGCGAATTGTGCTTCCAATGTGTCCCTCCAGAGAAACATGCTCGTGACCACCGGCACATTCACGACTGAGGTCTCGGTACATCTTCTTCTTGGTGGTCATGAAACATGTGGCCTTTCGAACTGGCCGAAGCATTCCATTCTCTCCAGGAAGGCGCAAGCCATAGGCGCACTGGTCGACATAGGCCGCCAAACCCTTGAGGCTGCTAAAGGCCTTGGTCAGCCAAGCTCGACTGTACCAGGGGTGTTCCACATGAGCATGCCGCCCATGTCGGCGCTGCTCCTCGTAGATCACTGCCACAAACTGGAGAATGTCGCGATGATCACGCTGACGGGATTCTCGAAGGGACTGTTCTTGTTCAGGACGGTTAGCAAGACTGAGCTCCTCAAGCGACGACCACAAACGGCACGGTGGAGACAGAAGCACTTCGTCAGGTTGCTCCTGTCGTAGTCGCCGAAGAAACTTTCTCCGGTCCTTTGGGCTGTTGAAGTTCCAGCCAGTCTTTCCGGAGAACGTCTCTGTTTTGGCCCCCAGTTCTCTTGCACACGTCGAGGTACGCCCTTTTCCGGAGAAGACCTCCCAGACCAATTTCGTTGACTCGCTGCCAACTCGGGAAGCCATGGCCAGCTGAGCCTTCTGATTCTTTGTCGCCACAGTGGCCTGGTGCGTCAGGTAATGCATCTTTGCCTTGGTCAATGGCTTCACCTTCTGGGTCTCAACGTGGTACGCAAGGTCATTCTCAAAGGCGTGCACTCCGCTAAGGTGGATCTGGTCTCCAGATTCGTTGTCGTGGATCTGGTCTGCATTGTCGCTGTTGTGGATCTGGTTGCCGGTGTCGTTGTGGTGGATCTGGTTGGCGGTGTCGTTGCGGTGGATCTGGTTGTCGGTGTCGTTGTGGTGGATCTGGTTGTTCAAGACGCCGGGCGGTCGCTCGACGCCAGGAAAGAAACGCGAATTGGACTCTTCGATGGTGACTTTCTTTGCGAGGGTTCGATGGCCAACAGCTGTGGCCTCCCCATGCGCGAGCCCATTGTCTCGCCTATCCACGCATCTCCTCGCACTCGTCACCGTGACCTGCTCGCTGATATCGCTCTCTGCCGTCATGACTGGCTCCATGTCACCCAGGATCGCCTGAATCCCCATCTCGATCGTCACGTCCACGTGGTTCTCAAAGTCGTCGGGCATGAGCACGTCGTCGGTGTCGGTCGGGTTCAGCAGGAGGTTCTTGTCTTCAGCCAGATCCAATAGGTGCTCTCCTTTGGCACCCCGAGGAATGGGCATCCACTCCTTGTCTGGCCATCGCATCTTCTGGCTTCCATAGTCCACTGTCAGGCCCAACTGCTCAAGGATAGGCCTTCCAAACAACAGGGGAGCTGTTCCTTGGATCACGTAGGTCAGGACGCGCAACCTCCGGCCTCCCACAGCAATTGGGAGAAGTAGACAAAGGTTCGTAGACTCGGTCGCTGAGTTCCCGTACCGGAAGCCCTTCATGCACTTGAACACTTCGATGGTGGAGACGTCCATGCCAATCTCCATCATGTACCGCAAGTACTGCTGGATGCTGTGACGGCTTCCAAGCACCGAGGCAGCCCCGCCATCTTGAACAGCATGATGGGAACTCTCATCTTCTTCCCCATCGGTCTGGTCCATCGCAAAGACCTCTGTCACCATCATGACGCTGTCCTCGCCCTCGATCTTTCGCTTCTTCTCAGCACCAGAGGGGCAGTTACGTGCCCAGTGGCCCGACTGCCCGCACCTCAGACACAGCTGTCTTCCGACGATGGCCTGTCCACGACGGGCGGCCCCTTTCGGGTTCAGAGGTCCCTGCTTGCCAGAGTCGCCCTTTCCAAAGTGGCTCTTGCCCTTCTTGGTTTTGCTCTTCCCCTTCTTACCCTTGGTTCTGGTAGAAGAGGACGAGGAGGCAAAGGGCTTGTCCACCAAGGCCACCACTGGATAGAAACCCCTGGAGGTCCGAAGGGCATTCAACTTGCCACGGGCCTCTGCAAAGCTAGCGTAGACACTGTCATATTCCTCCACATCAAAGACAGCATCCTCGTCGGGCCCGGTCTCGTAGTAGTCCTCGTCCTGGTCTGGCCATGGAGAGCCGCACTCATCTTCATCTCCCTGCCAGTACGCCGGCTCCCAATCCATAGACCACGCGTCCTCTTCGATGTCATAGGAGCCGTCGTCGTTGGCGTAGTACATGTCCATCTTGTTCCGGCTCTTCATCTCCATCTTCGAGTCCTGGCCCAGGATAAAGTTCATGGCCTTCTGGATGGACTCCACATCCAGATGTTCTGCGCCAACATTCGTCAAGATAAGTTGGCGCTGCTCTTTGCTGACACCAGACCGTCTCAAGAACCACCATGCACGGACCTTCTCGGGGAGCTTGACGCCGTGTGTAGTTGTCAACTGTCTCTCAGCTCGGGCAAACTCGGCCGTGTACTCCTGCAGCGTCTGCTTCTCGCGTCTCTGCAACTTCACAAAGAACAGCTCGAAGTCCTCCGGCAGCTCCGTCATCGAGTCGTACTTGAATGCCTTGTCGAGGCGGTCGAACACAGCGCTGTAGCCTGTCTCGGACTGCAAGGTCTCGATATCCAAGTCATCAACAGCGTCCCAAGCCTTTCCAGTCAGCAACGTCACGATGTTAAAGACGGTCTCCTTGGATCTCCCAGTCAGGGCCATCTTCGTCTTGTACAGCTCACATCGCTTTCTGAACTCTTTGTAGTTTCTCTGCACATTGTCGAAGACGGGCACATACTGATCGGCCTTTCCAACTACTGCATTGCCAGGTGCCCCAGGGCCATTGGTGGAGCTAGCCTGGGCACTTGCTCCAGACATAGTCACAGCGAGCGATGGGATCAGGCAACGAAGCTTCCAGCTCTCGCTACCAACTTCAAGATCTCCAAGCCTTGATGGGCAGCGCTCACGAAGTCGATGCCACTCTTTTCCATACACCACAGAGGCGTAGCTACGTGTTGTCTCAAGCACCCTCCCTTCTGGGAGAAAACACAGCGGTTGCATGTGTGCTGTGAATCAAGATCAAGCATGCTTTCTGTGATGCAGCACGCTCTCACTCATGAGAATTCCTGCGGAATCTTCACACCTTCTAAACTGAGTATTTTCGACATCTTGTCATTTTGTGATTGTATTAGTGTAAGTAAATAAAATCGAGCGCGAGACTTAAGACGTTCCTTGAATGAAAAAAATTTTAAATTTCTGGTATTCAAAATTCTCCCCACTTTAATTTAGCATTTACCATAACATCCGGTGGCTAGGCTGAAATATATAAGACCCGCCCCCGGCATAAGTGTATTCAATGAATCTTAAGTATCGTATGGTTGGTGAGTTGTTTGGATTTCAGGGGCTAGAATTTGATTAGATTAAATTAAGCTTACAGATGTGAAGGCTCCAGATGCAATAATTCGATCATACTAAATAATCAATATCGCGATGTATCATACATCATCATCTCTATTATTATGTTCACGGAGCAGTGCAAATGCTGTCGGAGAAATGGACGAAATATACAAAGGCGTCTTAAGCATTCGGCCATAGTTAAGAGCCGAACAAAAAGTAATTTAAGAGGTTTGTAGTAGAAGCCCGCCCAAGTAATAAGAAATCTTTGATAGAGTAGAACCTATATTCAGTCTACAAACACCCCCAAGTAAACCGATAAATACAAAAAGACATGGGGATTTTGTAGGCAATCATGAAGAAGTGCGGGGCGTCTTGAATCCCGCGCCCGCGTAAATAAATAAATAAATAAATAAATGTATATATATATTTTTTTATGACTCTCGATCTTGTTTATAACCATTTGAAAAAGAATAATAATATACAAAATCTCTACAGATATGTACGCATCTGTTTAAAATCTTTTTCAATATTTACATATGAATCATTTCTTTGGAAAATCAATTAAAAGCTATAGTTATATCAATATGAGTCATTTCTAAACCATAAACCATAATTTTACAACAACAAATTTACAGAAAAAAAAACGAACAAGAAGAAACGCTAGCTAGAAGTAGAATTAAATACAGAAACAAACAAAATGCCCAGGATAACTGCTTAAAGCTTTTCTGGTGCCCTGCCAATACGGCTGAAGCAGCATGACCCAGGAAGAAATCCCAACCGGGACGGGTAATGACACAGGCAAGGCAGGCAAGGCAGGCAAGGCAAGGCAAGGCAAGGGAAGGCAAGGGAAGGCAGGGAAGGCAGGCAAGGCAGGCAAGGCAGGCAAGGCAGGCAAGGCAGGCAAGGCTCTTCTTTTCTTAGGCCAAACTTCAGAGTACAATAGAGTACAATGCACAGATGCAGAACATATCAGAACATATCAGAACATATCAGAACATGTCAGAACATATATAAAACCTCCTTCAACTGGTGACAACTTCGTGCCAGTGCAGCGATGCTACCTGAAAGACGCTTCCTCCACAACAACGGAGCCCACTTGCTCTGGAGCTTCTTCAGCTTTTCAGACTTTTCACCATACTTGTCTATAATACAACTGCAAAGGTGAAAATACCATACTATGCTGTACTATCAACAAGATTTTGGCCAGAACCCCACCCTGAAAGGTGGGAAGGGTGCTACATTCCACGCTCTCAGTATCAAATTAGAAATCAGAATTTGTAGACCTTCATGCACCCATGATGATGTTGTCAACATGTTACAATGTATAAAGTGGTCTCGCTCTCTGAAGCGTAATGCCGTAACACCTCAGCGATTTTTGACCGTTGTCCGCAGAAGGGCCTGAACTCGCGCCGGAAAGCCTGGACCAGTGGCTAGTGCACATATCTCAGGATTTGCCACGGCGCTAGCTTGTTGACTCCGTCACAGCAACGCTGGCGACAAAAACGACGAAAACTCCAAGCTCTGAGCTGAACACTGCTCTGCAGGTGCATTGGCCATCATCCTTCGTAGGTATCCCACATAGATGTACGGCAGCCCAGATCTCTGAAACCACTATAAATAGCCTTCGTAATATCCGATTGGACAGTTGTCGGCGGAAAGCCCATAGCTGCCAGCTCATCTTTCTGATGCTTTTCAAGTTTGAAGAACTTGCGAATCCTGTCCATTTTCGGTGGGAGCCATTGCCTTACCTCCTGCACTTCAGCATCTCTTTTAAACAGTTCACAAGCCGCTTGCTCGGCAGCTCGCTGGTCAAGCCATGGGGCAGGAATCTTTTTGCCAAAGCCTTTTGCGATTGAAGACCCATGCTTGGCGAAGCCTCGGAATTCTCTCTGAAAGAAGCCAGTCGCAACCAACACAGAAGTGACGCCTTCCACACATCCAGCGCGCTCAAAGTGGTACAAGTTCTTGGGGTCTTCCATCGCATTATACCGCACCAGGAGATCATGAACGCACGTGCGGGCGGGCATCCTGTCACAGCATTGCGGAGTGAGTTATCAATCATTGCTGTCATCATTCAAGTGCTGATGCAGCTGTTTTGGGGGAATCCACTTCCAAAGTTAAATGTATACCGACCCATGTTCAACATCTATTACATGCTTTTCAACATCCGGGGGGAACGATTTGTGCGAAGATTGCGGCAGGCAAGCAGGCAAAGGGCAACTTGCGTCATTTCCAAGATGAAGCCCTCTACTATCTAGTATGACAATATGGCATATTGACCCATAAACCCACGTAAAATATGCAACAGCAGAGTCCTCGGTTTGCGCTGGCTCGGTTGCCGGGTCTGAGTCGGCGGCGGCTCGGTTGGTGCTGGCTCGGTTAAGTGGCAGTGGCTCGGTTCCTGGTGGCTCCGGGTTTCTGGTCGCTCGGTCGGCGGTGACTCGATTGACAGTGAGTCGGTGGTTTGGTTGGGATGGTCTTTTTAGTGGTGGGCGGCTCGATCGGCGGTGGCTCACGCAAAGGGTGGTGGGGGTCATGCAATGCCACACTGACGTGTGCTCGGAACCCCGGAAGAACCCGATGCGGAACCCCGAACCGGCCCCGAGACCTTGGAACCGCCCGGAAACCGCCCGGAAACCGCCCAGCAACCGCCAAGGAACCGTCCGGGAACCTGTCCCAGAACCCTCCCGCGCCCCCATCTGCCCCGGTAGCTCGCTGTGGGGGAAGGGGGGGGTGTTTGCAGCGACTGCACTTTGGTAGCATACAACTATGCAGTGAGCTACACCCAGCTACACTTCTACCCTCAGTCACTCAAAAACTCCAGCCTTTCCCACGTTTCATCCTTGATGCCGATTTCGCCCTCCAGGCTCCGAGCCAGAGCTGCGAAGTGCCCAGTCTTTAAGCGCTCCAGAATATCGGCTCCAGTGAGATCTTTCTTCCGGATCTGTTGTGGCTGCCCTTCAGTTGACTTCTGTGCAACATCTTGAACGGACGGCTGGTCACTATTCTGAAGTTCGTGCTTGTCTTCCTTTTCCTCAAGCTTCTCCTGCTTTACATCAGCCTCGCAACCGCTCACAGTCGCGTCTGCTAGTTCCTCGAGCTCTTCCTGCTTCACGTCACCATGCTCTCCAAGCTCCTGCAGAGTCCAGCTTATTTCGTCTTTGACGAGCAGCACTGTGTGGGACAGCACTTCCTCCTGAGAGAACATCGAGAAGTGAGAGAGGGATGAGGATGAGGATGCTGAGGGCGCTGAGGTGCTCTGGGAAGCCATGTCCTCATGATCCTCATGCGAATCCTTGACAGCTTGCCGCTTCAGGCTGCCAGGCCAATCTACACCAAAGATCGGACTCGGACGCTTCATGGTTCGCCACCGATGCACCACCGAGCTCAAGAAATCATGGCATTGTGAAAGTCTTGTGGCTGCGCTTTCCTTCTTTGACCTATCTTCCGCATGTTGCCGACAGCTGATGGGATGGAAAGAAATCTAAGCATCTAAGCATCATCTAAGCCAGCCTGCGCATGATCGGAGGCCTACTTGCCAAAAGAGACTGCAGGTGTGCATGACACGAGTGGCTTCCAACATTCCACTCGAGCTGAGCCTGTTACAGCAATCGGCTTGCAGTCTCGTAGGGTAGGCAATGCCTTAAAGGGTAATTGAAGCCCTGGCCGGCAACTGCGACTGCAGTGCAGAGGGTCAACAGTTCTCGCACCTGGGCATCAACTGTCGGGACCCTGTGGTGAGCACTGGCGAGAACGTATCCTTTGCAGCTTGGGCCCTTGCCATTCCTTGTTGCACCTGCTCAGCGCTGGCAAGCTTGTGCGCCCGCTGCTTGCAAGCCTCACCTATCAAACAAAGAAACGGTCCATTAATTATGCAAGAAACGTCCGACCCTATTGCCACCCAAGGAGCGGGAGAAACTTGGCATGCGTTTCTGCAGCTCGTCTCTGATCCAATCAGATGTGCAGGCTGCGGCGCCGCATCAACAACTGTACGATTCTTTGCATGGAAATGGCGCCCCCCCTAACCCCACTACCATCTCCGAACAGGATCGGGTAAGCACTTGCTTTGCGGCTGACGTTTCGAAATCTTTCGCAGCACAGGGCAAAAAGCCAAGACCCGGCCACACCATCTGACCATTCCCGTAAATTCATCGAAGTCTGGGCCTGCAGAGATTCTCCCCCAAGCTTACTGTAACGGGCCACCCGAGAGCAAGAGATCAAATGCCACGTCAGAGGCTGATTGCCGCTGTTCCTGATTGCCTTGGGGTTAAGGACGTGTGTTTGCACTTTCTGATGTTTCTTTCGCTAGTCAGATACAAGGCCAAAGCAAACGCCGTCCTGTCTCGCACATTGCGATCGAAGTGGCAGGTGTAGTTGCAGGTTTTTCCGCCCTGCGGGCTCCACATTGGCGGTTCTTAGCAATCTTGGCACATAGCCCAAGATTTATCTGGATAAGTTCCTGCGGTCCTGAGGGTAATGTAGTTTTTTTTTTTTTGGTGTAAAGTTGGCCCGAGGCCTCTGGCACTGTATTTCTGACATGTTCTGACCCAATCCGTGCTATTTATCGGAGAAGGTCGGAGGGACGTGTGTGGGCTTGGGATAGAGCAACAGAACAAGGGTAACATGAAATGACTTCTTGTCGTAGAACCCCTTATATGCTAAACATGTTCGGGTGTGTTGGTGTAAGGCGTCGTCCCGGGGGTGGTGCATGATCAGGTCGCCGACCAGGTTCACATCCCCACACCGCACCCCCACCCCACCCCCCAAGGGCCCCCGACCGCTCTCACCGCCCTCACCACCCTCTCCTCTCCTCATCCACCGCCCCAACCACCCCCCCTCACCCGCCCCCCCACTACCCTGGAGTTAAAAAAGGGTTCGGGTGGTGAGGTTGGTGGGGGTAGCAAAGTGTCCCCACAGCGGAGACTCACATAGGACAAAAAATGCGAGTTGCCCAGAAAAACACATATGAAAAAATCGCGAGAGTTTCCCCAGGGCGGGGACCCAGAAAAACAAACTTGGAAAGCAAAAGCCAGAGCTCCCCCCAGGCCGGGGAACAAGAGAATTCACATAGGACAAAAGATCGCGAGAGTTGCCCAGAAAAAATATGCAAAACATAGCAAAACTGTTCCCAGGGTTGGGACCCAGAAAAAAACCTTGGGAACAAAAAGCGCGTGTTTTCCCAGGGAGGGGACCCAGAGAATTCCTATTCCACAGGTCCAGGGCGCAGTGGGTACCCCGGAAAAAAACACTTACAAGTAGAGAAAAAAATCGCGAGGGTTCGTTAAGGTTGAACTAACGCTCTTTCGAGTGAACCTAGCGCCCTGTCGAGCGAACTAGCCTAAAGGTGATGAGGGTGGCCGGGGTAGTGGGGGTTGGTAAGCGTCGGCCGAAAACTCCAGTTTGGGTCAGCAAAGCCTTGGGGCCCAGAAGATCACGACCCAGGAGCCCGAGCCATGGCGGAGAAGGCACGTGAGTACTGGTGCAGACAGGCTCGAGCGATAAAGGTTGTCTTTCCCACCTTTTGAGAAACCACGCGTCAAAGAAACGAGGAAAACTGCAGGTGTCAGCTCTCCTGCACCCCGGGCGCCCCGAGCCTGTAAGGTGACTCCCCCAAAATACCTGGAAAATGATAAGCCCTGGAAGATGAGGAGTGCATCCTGACCCCCCCCCCCGCATCCCTGCCTAACACTGCGGCAGTGGTCACGAACCCCTTGCTTGCGGGCGCTTTCACTGACGGCTCAAAGATGCGGCGTGGCCTGTTCAGCACCTCGAGAACTCGCAAAAAGGACCAACCAGCAGCCTTGCTTTCAGGATGAATTGCTGTTTGTTTGTGCGCATGATGCCACACAAGCTCGCGTTTTCAACGTGGATACGTGCGCCACGAAATTGGGGGAGCATCAGCTTCCGATCTACTCGATCCCGGACCAGTCTCCATACCCATGGGCGCTTCCACATGTCCTTGAAGTGGTGTACCCGGGTGCACGGAGTGCCATCTTCAATGTTAAGGGTCAGGCCCTTCCGACCCTTACAGTACCCAGTCTGTTGCCGCCGCAGCTGTTTTGCCAGCAAATGACCACCCAAGCACACAGTACGCAGAGAAGAGCGATGGTTAGAGAGCATGCCTTTTTGCAAGATTTCAAGCAGTGGTGCAAGTCAGCCAACACGCATACACCACATGCGCCACACCGTGCATAACCCCGAGCTCCCGATTACAGCGCCCACGCATACGCCGCGCTGCACATACTCTGCACACGTAAGCACACGCACCCTGCACAATCACCAGTCGTACACGAACTCACGCGTCCAATGCACAACACATTCACCCCAACCCCCCCCCCCACACATACAGCGCACCATGCATGCCATGCAGCGCACCATGCGTACAGTACCTTGCCGATGCTTACACGTCTCTATGACAGTCCTGCTGCAATGATCCGCCTCGGATGATGCCTGAACCTGCATTTCCAGATATCTGGAGGGAAAGTGATGCAACGCAAAGGTCGGCAAGGGTCAAAACATGCAAGAAAAGCAGCCCGCATTGTTGCAAACTTGTTACACTGACGCAAACAAAGCGGTGCTCAAGCAAGCCATGTTGTGCATGGCGCATTCGTCATTCGTCGAACTAGGTGATCAAGCCTGGAAGCATAATCGGCTTGCTCACAGCCTGTTCTGCACAAAAGTCTCTGCAAATCTCATCCGAGATTGGTGCAGTCTGCTACCGGGTTCTACACTGTCAGTTCTGCCATTTCAGAACTTGCAGAGCTCAAGGGGCACTCGGACCAGCATCTTGCCTGTGTTCGTGCCACGGAAGAGGCCCATAATGCCATCTGGCAAATTTTCAAAACCATCTACAAAGCTGGAGCAGTCAGAGATCTTACCGTCACGCAGCCAGGATGACAAAGTTTCTGATGCCTCAGCATGCGCCTCAGGAGGGAAAAAGCCCACAATGAAGCCTTCCACACGCAAGCGTTTAGCAATGATGTGGAACAGATTCCGCACCCCATAGCGCTGTTCAGGCTTTGAGTCGTACTGGGAGATTGCGCCGCACAGCGTGATGCAGCCTGTGTCGTTCATCATCTCCAGTACCGCTTCGAGGGTCTCTCCACCGACGTTGTCGAAGCATGCGTTAAGCCCTGCAGGAGCCAGACGCTTTAAAGCTGTGAGCACACTCTCGTCACGGTAGTTGAAAGCCTCAAACCCCTGCGATTGCAGGTATACCACCTTATCGCCAGAGCCTGCACTGCCGATAACACGACACCCCATTTGCTTGAGAGTGTGGCATGCGATCAAACCCGTGGCGCCCGCTGCCCCAGAGACGTAGGCAACGTCGCCAGGCTTTGGCCTGGTCACATGCTTAACGCCAAGGTACCCGGTCATGGCTGTCATGGCCAAGCAGGAGAATGCCGCGGAGGGTGAGACTCCTTCAGGCATCTTCTGAAGTGCCCCCACGCTTACTGCGTTGATCTCTCGCCACGGAGCCTGGGCGAAGACCATGTCGCCCTTGGAAAACCCATCTGCTTTGGACTCCAGCACCAGGCCAGCGATTCTCCACGTGATCACCGAACCAGGTGCCCAATTCATCATCTTGTAATACGCAGAACCCTCGGTTCGATCAGCTGCCTCCTCCCCTGCCATGGCATTCCGCATCGTTGGGTCCATGCTCATGAGATGCGTCGCCAGGAGCACCTTCAGGCATTGGCAGGAGCACTAGCAAAGCTCTCCAAGCTTACACACATCCACCATCATCATCCATCATCTACCAATCATCTACCTTCTGCATCGCGCCTCGCCATCCTGGCATTCTGGCATGGGGCACTCACGAAGCTCCAGGTCACTGGGCTGGAAGCCATCAGGGCCGGGCCTGCGCAGCACATGCAGCAGGGAAGCCGCTAATTACAGAACATCCAAGTATATAATGTCGTATCCTGATTAGTGATTAGTGTGGACCCCTTCAATAATGAAAAGTTTAAAATAATTCAGGGGACCGAAATTTGGCTGCCCACCTACTATAATGAAAAGTTATTCGTCGGAAGGGAGAAAAAAAGAGAACAAGATGAGGAAAGAAAAAGAGGAGAGGGAGAGGAAGAGGAGAGGGAAGAGGAGAGGGAAGAGGAGAGGGAAGAGGAGAGGAGACGGTGGGGGGGGCCCGGGGCCGAAAATTACTTTGGGGGGTCCCTTTTTTTTGTTACTATTGCGGGGGTGGATTTAGTTTGGGGGGGGGGCCCCCCCCACACTAATCAGGAGACCACATTAATTGCGAAAATGTATTGCGCATCAAACAAAGTTATGTAATATGGTGGCGCCTCTGCCTCAGGATCCACTCGCGGTTCTTTCTTGATGCCATGGCCAGGGGTTTGAGGATGCTTGCCGTTGATGTGTCCTCCGTGATGTTGGCGGATCCTCTGTTGAATGTGCTCAGAGATTCACAGAACGAGCAACTGAGCCCAAAGCCGACAAGTGCAGGCGCATCGTATCTGGCCACATTATGCCGCTCTTTTCTCAACATTTCTCAGTGGCACTCCATGCCCACTAATTATAGCTTTTGTGGATGTGGCGACTGCAAGCATGTGCGAGGCAGTTCCATGTTGCGGCCTGGTGCGCACAAAGCTTCTCAGCTCACGGTGGGAAGCTGACAGGTTTCGTCACGTGCTGTAAAAACCGTGAGCCTGTCACTGTACCCATAGGTTCCGTGAAGCTGGCTCTACAACCCTGGAAATCCAGTTCTTCATAGACATGCGCTCGGCGCTCGCTTTGCCATGCTCCTGCCCGTGCGCACGCGTCTTTGCAACCGGTGTTGCGGAAGCTCGTGACGTGACCAGAAGCTGGCAGCTGGAGATGGAGATGCGGAATGGTGCTCAACATTGTCACAAATTATACTTACCCCCATGCACAACCTTCAAAAAGTCCCTGCAGCTGCCCAAAGGTAAGCCCTCCGGACACGTGCGCAAGCCTCACTCTACTTTTCCACCGCCGTTGCCATGCTCGCAAAGCTCCAGCGGCTTCAGTTGCCTGGTCAAGATGGCAACAGGGCATTAGCGACTCACGCTGCTACTGCGGCTTCAGAATTTGGCTGCGCGCCATACTCGACGAACCCCGACGAGCAACATGTGCCGTCTGCGGAGGTCTGTGATTGAGACGTGTCGGATGTTTGAAAAGTGCAGCAAAAGCTGCGTTCAGTAGACGCGAAACCAAACTAGCAGAAGCACTCAGCTGGCACAGGTGCATCAGCGCCAAACAATTGACTGCTTGACGGCGGAACCAAAGGAACACCCCAAGACCATAAGGAGATCATTACTTCGGTCTTCGGCGGCCCTTCAGTCTCCTCACAGAGCTTGCATTGTCAATGCTTGCAGCATTGGCTGCGCTTTCACCTCACACAGGCTCAAGTTCTCGGTAGATGGGAGATGTATATAGGGCAATATATTTAATATGGCAATGGCTTGCTGGGCCTTCGCTGCTTGTAATCTGAAACGAAAGCTCAGACAGAAAACCCTGCTCAGTCACAATTGGGTAAGCTCTGGCCAGGGATTGAACTAGAAAAAAGCCCGCAAGAAACGAGAAAACGTTCGCTTGCACACACAACCAATCCTGCTGCCCACGCAGAGATCGAGAACGGCCGCGGCCCACCCCCTCCCCAGAACTCGATGATCCTACTACTTTGCTGCGCGTGCGGACGCGCGCCCCACGCGAATGCCCGGCATGGTTTCTATATGACACCTCCAATGGCCTCAACAAGGAAAGGCTCAGGCTTCAAATCTCTTTGAACTTGAGGCGGTAAGACGGACTTGATCGTGTTTCGGATCCAGACCCTGCATCTTTCAGCCGTTGTTTGTTCGCTCCGCATGCTCCGCCAGGAAATCCAAGTTGTAGGGAATCCAAGCCGGTCCAGTGCCACTTGTGGAAGTCAGGTTGAGCTATCCAGGGAGGAGCACGCACGGGAAATGTGGAGATGAAGCTTCGAAATCACCAACAACCGGCTTGAGAAGACTGAACAGAGGTTCCGGGATACAAAGAAAAATAAGAAAGCACACGAACACGACAGTGACACACAGCAATCGAGAAACAGCTTGCACTGCAGTGATAACTAACAGGCTAACCTGTGACACAGTATGATACAGTCCCAAATTGCGAGCTTGCGCATCCCGGCTGCACAACGCAACGGATGACCAATGCCCATGAAAGAACCGATCTGTGAAGCGAGAGAGTTACAATAATGACCACTTCTCGCGCATGCGCATTCGGACCACATGAATTCTTGCCGTTGCACATCGTTGCCCAGGCACGCTCTGCTTTTATACCCCGGATCTTGTTGGCGATGGCTGCAGATTTCTTCCGCCGGGCATCGTTGGCATGCTCCTGCAAAAGGTCACGTGATGTTGTGAATCATGAGTGTTCCTCATAACTCTGCACAAATTCTGCAAAGCAGTGTATGAAAATACAAACGGGCTTGCCGAACAAACCGCCAGCGTGAAATTATCCCCGCTGCGGGTTGCACTAAGGATTCGCAATGATTCGCGGAATTTCGCAGAGCCACGGCCTCGTGTCAACGAAACTCAACAAACATGTCCTCCTCTTGCTCTTCTGGTTCCTCTTCCTCATCTGCGACGACGCTTCGCCAAGCATCATATCGCCCCTGGGAGTGTCGTATGGTATGGTATAGTATCGCACAGTACAGTACAGTTCAGCAAGTATAGCTCTACCGGCTTCATGAGATTCACTCGATATCGTATTATCGTTCGCAAGTCAAACGCACTGTCCCCGAAACTTCGGGCAACTCCTTTCATAAATCCAACACGCGGGAAAACAACCGCACTTTATGAACTATGTTGCATTGCAGTTTGCTTGGGTCGACATGTAGCCCGGGCAGGGCTCCCTAACTTACCGTAGAATGTCATAGAAGGTTGTGGCATAAGTGTCTGCTGCAGCCCATCAGGCAGTCATGCACCTTTTTTTCATGTTTGGCTCAAGAAAAATGTAACTAACCTGTACGCGTCTGATGCATCTGTGCGGGCCATGGGACTTTTACATCTGCAAGATAGGCTTGAAAGCCGGCTGCGCGTAGCTTCTCCACTTCCGAAGGCGTCTGGTGAAGGGCATCCAGGGCGGCCTCCACCTTCCGTGATCCGTGCAATTCTGTGCACCGTGCAGGCACTGTGGCACGGTGCAAAAAGGGGGTGGGCATCTTGAGAGGCATCTTAAGAAGACTTAAGAAGCGTCGCTCTTGATGTATCTTTGAACCTGCGAGATTGAAAGCAAGTGGCCATAGGCCGTGTCTGAAGAAGCCAGGCCACAAGTGCAAGCCATTCGCACAGACGAGCCCACGCCTGACCAAAACACGGAATCCTGAAGCTGTCACTTGAACATTTCGCGCCTTCTGGAGATGTAGCTCCGCGACAGCTTCAGACGGCAGAAAGGTCTTCAAATCCTCCTCGCGAGCAGACTGCTGTAGATTGCGCAGGGCGGCAAACGCTACGCACATGTGCATTTCCGAAGCCCAAAGCGGCCAAGCCTGCGAAGGCAACTGGCCCCACAGCATTTGCGGATCCATTCCACGTACTGGGCTTGATACAATCATGAGTACGATCGCGACCAGGATGGCCTGCGCAGGGCTCTGCAGGCTTTGCAGGGCTCTGTGTGCTACTGCTACTGCTACTGCTACTGCTACTGCTGCTGCTCTTGCTGCTACTCTTGCTGCTGCTGCTGCTCCTGCTGCTGCTGCTACTACTACTACTACTACGACGACTACTACCACTAGTACCACTACTTCTACCACCACCACCACCACAACCACCACCACCACCACAACCACAACCACAACCACTACTACACTACTACTACTACTACTACTACTACTACTACTACTACTACTACTACTACTACTACTACTACTACGGTGCAACCCTATGGTTTGCCCGCGCTTGTTTTTGGAAGGTACATAAATCATGCGCAGGCGCAGCGTTTCTGGCCTCTGCCGGCCTTTCAACAGTGTTCTTTTTTTCGTTTTTTTCTTCATAAACGACGACCCTCTGCGGGTTTCCCTGCGTTCCGGACTTCGCAGAACCCTATGGTTTGCCCGCGCGCGCGCCTTACGGTTTGGGCTTTGGAGTGTTTCAGGCACGAGTCCAGCACGAGGGCTTCGGTGTTTTGTCATCCTGGGCTTCAAGGAAATAACGCTGCTTTCGGGCGTGGGTTCAGGGTTGAGGCGTAAGACAGTTTACGGTTTGCCCGCGTCTTCTGCTTGTGGGCAACGAACAGCCAAAGCCTAAACCTTAAACTCCAGAAGTTCTTGGTCCTATTTCATAGCTCAGGATTTCGCAGACGACTCGTCTTGTGGCCACTACACTACTGACGCAGTCCCGTGCTTGTTGGGTCGCGCGGCCACAGGTCCGCGGTCTGCAGAGGCGGACACGGCCCTGGCAGACGGGAAGCGGGGCGCAGACGCTGGCCACCTGCCACATGGTTCATGCTGACATGCTGCGGCAAGAGCTGACTCAAGCATGCTTGTCCAAACCCATGCTTGACCACCCTGTGTGTGGGCAAACCACCCGGTTGGGGCGTACTACTACTACTACTACTACTACTACTACTACTACTACTACTACTACTGCTACGACCACCACTACTACCACTACTACTACTACTACTACTACTACTACTACTACTACTACTACTACTACTACTACTACTACTACTGCTGTTCATGCTCTGCGCAACAACTACGACGACGAAGACAAGGACGACGCAACGACAACGACGATGACGACGACGACGACGACGACGACGACGACTACTACTACTACTACTACTACTAGTACTAGTACTAGTACTAGTTCTAGTACTAGTACGAGTACTGCTACTAGTACTACTACGTACAAAGAAGTGGAATGGTATTTGACTGTGTGGCTTTCCTTACTTCACACGCTTACGCGCATATGCTTTGCTTTAGTGACTGTCTCGGGGGGGGGGCAGCGTCAAATGTTTTGTTGCTGATGTCGTCCCAACGCGGATAAGGCCCATGTTGCAAGCACATTCTTTGGTCCCAGCATCCATGCCCGAGCGGTGGTAACGTCCATATGCGTCCATGTTACCTGCTCAGGGATTTGCAGCTTCGGCTTGACCCCGACGAAGAGATGCCGCGCATGGAGTGCGAAACATGGCCACCTATGTCAGCATGGGCCTATCCACCTCCCGACGCCCTTGGTGTATGCAGGGGCCCAGGACGCGCACCCATTCGATAGGCACGTGCGGCATACCCGCAGCTACCGGGGCAACCCACGAGCCACGGAAAGGCCACATGGTTTGGACGTTTGGTCCCAGCATCGCGAACAGCTATAACGTCCGCCCCATGGCGAAGAAGCTACACGATTGAGATCCAGCGGCCGTGTGTCACTGAGCGTCAGTACTGCCCTACCTTCCAAAGATCCAGAAATCAGGGATGGTCTAGGGACACTCCCACAGCAGGGGCCTAGCGGGTACCCTTTTTGCATCCAGGCCTCTTCGAACACTGCCCTGAAGCCCTGAACACAAGGGTGCGGCCAAGGAAACCTAAGGGTGAGACGGGGATTAGGGTTAACTCTGACCCGTTCCAAATGCCATGAGGGATGATGTGTGAATGAGGCTTCTCTCTTATGCATGCCACGGGATACATCAGGCTTCGAATTCAGCGCGACTTTACTTGTGCATCCCAGGAATTCTGCGAGCATGCTTCCAATTGAGACTTTGCAGACATTGCATACCTCAAGAAGAGATGCAGCCCGATGCCTTTCACTCAGTTCAATATTCTACTCTGCCGTCCCCACCACATTCTATCCAAGAAAAGAGTCAGATCTACCTGTGCATTTTTGTCGTCCTACTTGCTGTGGAAGAAGGCCTGGAGCAGCTCGAAGACGTGAAAGCTGAAGAGCCACCAGCTTGCCAGAAACAGAAAGCAGTTCCAAGCAAACACCTCAATCAAGCACTCTGCTGCTCCTTCCTTGGTGCATGAAGCAATTTCTGGGACCCGACGGCACATCGCTCCTTCACGCCCATGATGGCATCGCCAATCAAGACCCAGGTGAGCTTGCGCCTGCCCAAAGGCTCCAAAGCCAAATCGAACCTTCCTCGAACTGATTCGAGCGATCCCCAATGCGTCTGTTTTTGAGCTGTCATGTTGGCTTGTGTCGGGTTTTTTGGAGATGTGCGGTGATGTGCGGGGACCTGATGCGGGAGGTCGGGACAGGGGGAGGGGAAGCAAAACAGATCATTCGTACGTGTATACCATCTGTGCTGTGAATGGTTCCATTTTTAACTTATACTAGGGTAAAGAATCAGAGAATGAGTTACGAGTAACCCCGCACCATATCTGCGAAACATGAAAGATTGGGATTCCAGAGTACAGCCGCGAAGAAAACCGTGCAGTCATGAAAAGCCCAGAAAAGCCCAGGCCATCCCAGGCCACAACATCCCGCCACTCATCCTCTGGCCTCCACACGACGAATGCTTTTCCTGAAGTCACGTGTCACAGGCCAGGCGTGAGGATGCTGAACCCACCTACATCGTAATACTTCCTGTTTGTTTGAACGCCCAAAGCTGGGCTGGGTAGTCACAGGACATGAAAAGGTAGCGCTAGCATGCTACTTGGGGAGCCGTCTGCCAGCACAGGGTGGTACTTGTGCAAATACGTGCTTCCTGACCCGTCGAGGTCAGCATTGCCAACCATCACTCTTGAATGGTCTCAACTCCGGGTTCCGCTGGCATGCCAGTCGAGTGTCTCAGGCGTTTCCGCTCCTCAGCTCAAGTTTTCGCCCACTAGCTCCCACCGTCCACTTGTTATCATAACCTACTTTATCCAAACGGAATGGGGTTCGGGAGCAGATAGAAAACGCAAACACCCACTCCATTTTCTCTTAGTTCGTTGCGAAACGGGTTGCCAAAGGATATCTCTGCAACTCCATCCTTCATTTTGCCCAAGCGTAGCCGTTGCGACTGGTTCTTTCAAGCCTTTTTGCCATTTGCTAGCCTATCTCTTCACTTTAGTTCACGGCACTGCCGGATTCTTTTGGCATCAGCACCAGAGCCAATGGTAATTGGAAGCGAACTTCATTGGATCTCCCAGTATCGTCTGATCACCATTCTTGCGACCATCTCCTTCCATTGCAACAAGCTCGCTCAAACAGAGCTAAAACTTCCCCAACTTCACTTATAACAGGAATTTGGGGTTCCCGTCCCCACAGCCTCGTATACTGATTGTACTGGTCAGCAAGCTGGACCTTAATGAGACGAAACTCCTGGAGGGAGCTTTCGCGATTTTAAGTTTGAACTTAAGTGTTCTCACCCCGTATCTCGGTATGTTGTGATCGGCTTGTTGCCTCACACCTGGCCGTCCCATGATCCGACCACGCTGGACGCCTCGTGCAATACTCCGCACAGCTTGCTCTGCCTGCCACTCAGTGCGAGGCATTGCAGCATGCTTTCCCCGCCCCATTTGCAGATGTGTTCTTGCGGTCTGGGATGGCCACTACGGACCTTTCTGTCTGCGTCCGCTGTTACCATGCGCGCCTGCAGGTAAGGATACAAGATGATACAAGCAAGCATCAGTTACTGATCGGCGTATCTCGAGAGAGAGGCGAAGCCCAAAGCTGCACATTCACACCGTGATGCAGTTAGAACTGTTTCGTGGTATCAAGCGATCACAAAACAAGTGAGCATATTTAACAAACAAGCTCCCGTGCAGGTTGGAGTCGAAGGCACAAGAGATGGCAAGCAGCAGTTCAAACTTACCGTTGAACGCTTGGCTTGCACCATCAACGGATGCGAGTGCTTGTTGCGATGGAAAGCATTTTCCATCGCCATCTGTACTCCAGGATGATTAAGCCTGCTTGGTAGCAACTACCGATCTGCACAATTTGGAGGCTCGATATCGGATGCTTGTGAGATCTTGTGACTGTGTGTTCGAGGAGTGCGGTCCCCGCAGACAGGCATGGGGGTACGCAGTGGCTAACAAGCACAAGGATTGCTGTCATTCAGAAGGTGACAGCGCCGCTGATATTGCGGCGCGCACTTGGTGACTCTCTCGGTGCCGGGAACAAGGTTCCATGCGAGGCATTCATGCCTCGCCTGGTTCGCACCTGGGCTTGGCCATGAGATTTCAGACTCCTTCATTCACTCACAGATGGCAAAACTTGCTTGCGCCGTGTTGCTTCCCGCGGCATGTCGCTTGGATTCGCTTGGTATAGAGGCAATGGTTGGCGATCCCCTGGTTTCATTGGCTTCAAGCTTTGGTCAAACCGTCAAAGGCGTCCACCTCATGTGATGGCGTTCACACGTTTTACCTACACCGCATGTGGTTTTTCGTGAGCTGATGCCTTTTGAAGTCGAAGGTTCCCGTGTCCTTTTCTAAAGGTGTCCCAGACATCCGTTGTAAAGAATTGTTTCTTGTTGTTAACGTGGAGTATGGAATCAGGGTGCCAGGCACAGCACTTGGACGTGACGGGCACTTGCGACCCAGATTTGACACGGAAAGCCATGACAACCTAGTTCGCCATGCCGATTGGACATGAGTGATTCACTGCTGGATTAAGAAATGGCTAGTCAGCATGTTCCCATGTCCCTAGCCACTCGCCCTCATCGATGGCCACAAATATTATACAACGAATGCTCGTTGATTAGCTCGGCAAGTGCACAGTCAGATGCAAACAAGAAAAGAACAGAAAACAGTTGAAAGACTCAAAACTCTGATGCCTGAGCTAAGGGAACAAGGCAACAAGAGGGAGAACCACAAAGGGTTGGGGATCAACACAGCCTTCGACCCTACGTACAACCCGCTCTCAGAGCGGCCCTTTTTCATCTTGAGCCAAAGGTCAGAAGGTAAGCCATCCTGATCTGCATAACATGACTATACATACATTACTTTACAGGAAGGAAGCTCGTGATTCTTCAACTCCCCCCTTCATGTTTGCAGATTCTCAAGTCCTAGAGCTCATTTGAAGCTCGATTCTGGACTTCAGGAAGCAACAGCTACGAGCTCAACTCTGCAGCCAAACCTACTGTCGATTGAAGTACAGGCTTAGCCATGTACAAATTGAATCCGGTATCTCAGGTGATCAGGCTGAAACGTAGACTCAATAAACCTTTAAGGTAATTCTACCTGCGATCTATACAAAACTACTCTCAACCGGTGCAGGACTGTGCTCAGGCGGAGTCAGAGCGGCGCTTGGGAGCAGCCGTACACTGACACAACGCAGTGCAAGGCTGAGGGCAGGCAAGGAGTGCAGAACGAGATCCTCAAGAACTCATTCAGATGACACAGGGATGATGGCCCATATCCAAGTGTCTGCAAAAGCACGATGATGGATACTGTACAAGACTACTCGTGACTACTCCCAATCAGAAGCACAGCTGTGCTCACGCAGAGTCAGAGTGGCGCTAGGCAGCAGCCAAACACCGACATCACACAGTGCAAGATTGAGGATAGGCAGTGGTTTAGGAACGAGTTCTTCAAGAGCTCATTCGGATGACACAAGGATGAAGAGAGCGGCCGCTGGGCATCCGAGTGTCTGCAAGTTGCACAGTGATGGAAGTATCGCTCAGCTGAACAACCATCGCAACATTATCACCAGAGGCAATTGTAACAAAGCTTTAGGTGATGGCGAACACACTTAGCTGGGAACATCTGGCAGATGTTAGTAGAAATGCGCAGCAACTTTAGTGCGTGAGCCCATTTCCGGATTGAAAGGGCCTTCGTCAAAGGATTACCTTTCTCAGCTTAGCTGAATATCCTTTCGGATAATGGCGACACAAGCTTCATTATTTGCATGACACAAAAAGCTTGATGCCAAGAATCACGGTTTGCCAAACTTCAAGTAAAGGCAACGCGTCATTGAACAGGGCACTGCTCGAACACAACATACTCTCTTCCGGGAGCGTTGGAGTCGCTGAGTGACTTGAACACATGAATGTGATCAGCTGCGATGACTTCTCCAAATTCCGAGGCTTCCAGCAACGCGGGCGCAGAGTCCTCATCACGAGGCTTGCGACACACTCTTCTGGACAAGAGCTTGGATTGATTGCACACATCACAGAACGGGTTCTTTGGGAAGTGGAAGAAGCGATGCTTCACACTTACAGCTTCATCTCTCAGTTTGCGAACTCGATCACTGACATGTGCATCATCCACAACGGGGAATCCAGGTGGACTCAAATCTAGAGGCTTGTCCCCTTCAGGAAGTGCAGATGCAGCAGGACCATCAGGGCTTGCTTCGATAAGATGTTCTTTGGGTAACCCCCCTGACGAAGAGGAAGGTATCTCGGACGAATCAACTTCTGCGGGAATGACATCAACCAGCGGAAGATTGTCCAGTAGAAACCCAACTCCTATGAGAGCATCCAAAACATCATGCTCGAGAGAAGCAGGATCTGTTGCCGCACACAAGACCATCGCAAGTCGAACACCAGTCCAAGGCTTCGTGGCACGAAGTCGATCTTTGGCGGAAAACCAGATGACCCCTTTCTTGGACTTCAGTAGACCGACCACACCACCTCGACGGAAGCAACCTACTGCAAAGGACGTGTCATCGCTCGGCTCAATCCCTCGGGATGCGGAAACGCGTTTCATAAGTCCAAAGATCTTACGAACTTGATTGGGCTGAATATCACCACGCTTTGTTAGGAGGTCTTTGGCATACTCTTCAGCTGGATCATGGGCAACGGGACGCGAAGGCTCTTGGCATTCCTCACCCGACTCGTCAAGAGAATCAGCTGACGCAGCAAGACCATGGACAAACTGACATTTGCTGGTGAAGATCGGCACATGCTCATCTGTGCGCTTGGCATAAAGCTTGGCTTCTTCGGCGCAGTCGACCCGAAGCTTAGACAAGTCATGCGCGAAGAATGGAAGGGAACCAGGTAACCATATGAAGGCCTTCCCAGATTCAACATCCAAGCTAGTGCTTCGAACAACTGGGCAGTTGTCCAACATGTAGTGAATGGCGAGAGGCATATTGTCGGACGCAAATCCCAAGCTCTGCGAACCGGGCTGAGGTCCACCGCCTGCGTGGAACGTAACAAGGCTCGCTGAGCGCGCAAGAAACGACCTGTATGACTCCGACGGAATTCCCCGGTCTGCCAACGCCCGCGCCGATCCAAGATGCCGACCAGCAGCTGTGTGCGCAGCCCACCCAACGCTTAAGACGTTGCTTCCAGGGATGTTGCACACGCTTGAGGCGGCAATCATTGCCACGACTGCCTTCGCAACGGCTCCTGTGGATTTGGGTTTGGGAGCGGCGGCCTTAGGCTTAGACTTAGGGTCAACCTTAGGGGTCTTATCAGGGTCATGACTGTACTTGCAGTCCTCTCCGTGCATGCAACCAGATGCCATCCTGAAGAAAATGCAAGGCGTCTTAGCCTTTTCTGCATCTGACATGCTTTTTGCTTTTGGCTTTGCTCTCGCCTCAGGCTCAGGGGTTGGTGCTGGGGTTGTAGACACTGGAGCCTCTGGCGGAGTCTTGGGCGCTGGAGGACTTCGCGGTGGCTCTTCGGTCTCAGCAGGTACCCCCCTGGCCTTTGCCTGCGGAGCTGCAATCTGCAGGGACTTGATTACCGACTGAGCATTGGTGTCTTCTCGTTCTTGAAGGATGACGTCTTGTATCTTGTTCCATAGGTAACTCCACTCACGACGACGGGATTCTGGCGCAGATTCTCTGATGTCATCAATGACACGTTCTAGCTTCCTAATGTGCTTCACACGGTGGAAGAGCCATTCGCCAGTGAGGCGATCATCCGGCCTCTGTCCTATTGGGATTGAATACAGAACAGTCCGAACGCGCTGCACAAAATCCCGGAGATCTCGAATGGAGTTTCCTCCAATTTCGACCTGGAACAACGTTGAAGCAGTCAGCACAGTGCCTCGAACGCGGTCAATGCTGAAATGACGAGCAAGAAGAGCAAGCATGTATCGACCTTTCGGCTGGGACCCTGTCTGGCCACACAACTCAACGTAGGCGATAACTTCTTGCGCCAACTCAGTCACTTGCTTCAACACACGCATGGAAGTCATCTCTCCAGCAATCCAAGCATCAAGGCGAGGAAGAAGACCTGATTCAGTAAGCTCTTCTTTTTCAGCTGTGAAAGACCGAGACAACCATGCAACAACCAAACCTTCGCCTGACATGTCAAGCTTGGCAATCTGGACCAACAACGAGTTTTTCCAGGCTCGGAAACCAGCAGCGTCGGAAGGAACCGGCTCAAGCTTGAGATGTAACAAAGCTCGGCTGTCAACAATGTGCTTCTCTTGCCTTTCAGGCTCTTCGATCTCATGAACAGGAGATGCATCATTGCATCCTGGATCCGTGCCATTTCTTTGGGCAAGCAGTTGCTGTACGACATCAATCAACTGATCAACACGAGGATCGGTAACGGTCGCAGGAGGGACGGTCGCAGGAGGGCAAGGGGCTGACTCATTGACAACTTGCGGCAATGAAGGTGCACCACTACTATCCTCATTAGAACCGTTATGTACCCAACTAAACCCACCAGAGCATGCACTTGACGCAAGTACCGGCGGCTTATCTGGCTGGCGAGGAGCAGACGTTGGAGGCGAAGACCCAGGACTCGTGGCGCTTGCAGCAGCCTGGCGAAGTCTCTGAATCTCGCGGTCTTTGACTTGCAACTCGACACGTAGCTGGGTGTTTTGGAAGTTCAGCAAGTTGTTGTCACCCCGGCAGCTGGTTAGGGCGGCTTCAAGCTCTTGGTACCCTGCGCGAGCGACCTGAAGTCCTGCTTCGGCCTTGCTTTGCTCGGCCTTAGCTACAGAGAGCTGTTCTTCCAAGATTCGACCCTGTTGAAGGATCTCATCATAGCGATGTTCGTACTGTTGCAACTGCTCACGCATTTGCTCAACGGTGGATTCAACCAAACCTCTAGCCTCATTCTCAACACGCTCTAGCCTTGTGGCATGCAACTGTTCAGCATGATCAGCAACATGTTGCGCTGCTTGCGCTGCGGCTAGACGCTGTGCATCCAAAACCTCTTGCGGAGAGGCTCCAACATTCAGGATGTTCTGTGTGTATGAGGCTTGAGCGGTTAGATTAGGGTAAGGGCTTGAATGCTCATGAGTTTTGCGAGGTCTAGACAAGGCTTGTCTAGTCAGAGGAGGGGACCTTTCACGGACCTCAACTGCTGAACTACTAGCAACCGAACCACTATCCGAACCAACACCACCTGGCAATGCCGTGGCTGAAGCACTTGACAAATCAAGCACCGAGCTGGCTTGATTGCTAGGGTCAGAAGGAGAAGACATTGCTATGGGAGGTGGAAGCGGTTAGCAGCAGCTCACCGCACCCTTTCTTTTGGCGGAAGAGGCGAGGCTCACGGCGTTCACTGGTGCAACCGTGGAAGGATGTGGCGAAAATTCGCCGAACTATCCTTCAAGGACAGGCACTCCGCTCACTCCTCGGAATTCGGAACAGAGTTGATACACCAGTTGCAAAGTGACTCTTCTGCTTCAATCAGACCAGAAAAACTGGGCACCGTAGATCGAGGATCAACTCGCTTGCCGCGCTTAGCCAAAGAAATGTGGAACGGAGTGATGAATGATGCTCCGGCACACTCGTCCACAACTTCTGCACTGTCGTCAACAATGGCAATGGGACAACGAGCAATATCAAAGACCTTCTCCAGCAGCGCCCGCTTTCCTGATTCACCCGTGGGTTTGCGGGTGATAAAAAGTAGCGAGAGGACTGAAACTCCTGCTTCACGGATGAGCCGATCAGTGCTGTTGCAACTCGTGCCGAGAACTTGAGCTAATGTGTCAGAATGACGGCAATAAGAAAGCACCACCACCAATATCTGCCTGCTCTCCGTAATCTGACTCAACCTCTGCAAAAAGCGAATGTTGCGGTCCGGATACTCTGGGCAATCGTCGCGCCAATTTGTGCTCTGACGAATATCACGGTCAAGGACTCCGTGAAAATCAAAAGCAAGGACTGCACGCGCCTGAGCCACCTCGCAGGAGCGCTTGCACCTTCACTCGAGACTGGAGCCGCTCCGGATGCCTCGGGGCTCAAAAGCACCTTCTTGCTCACTGTCCATCCATTCTCAGGCAGCTACACTTAGGGTCTTAGCTATGAAAGCAATACGGCTGATAACCAGTTGAAAGACTCAAAACTCTGATGCCTGAGCTAAGGGAACAAGGCAACAAGAGGGAGAACCACAAAGGGTTGGGGATCAACACAGCCTTCGACCCTACGTACAACCCGCTCTCAGAGCGGCCCTTTTTCATCTTGAGCCAAAGGTCAGAAGGTAAGCCATCCTGATCTGCATAACATGACTATACATACATTACTTTACAGGAAGGAAGCTCGTGATTCTTCAACTAAAACGCATACTACGACGATTTGCCGAGATGCCATGGTGGCCGCATCTTCACCAGGGAAGTTCACCAGCTCCCTCCAGCGTGGCTCTGTCCGCAGAATTCGTCGCAGAGCTGCAGGGATATTGCATGTGGGGGGGGGGGGAGGGGGGGGGACTAAGGAAGCAGCCAACACATGTCACCAATTGTCATACTATGTACATACGACGTACCACAACAACACACTGCAGCTGCTAGGTTTTCTGGAACTGCGCAGAGAGCCTGCTGGGATCTTCTTGGTGTACTTCAAGACCTCGTCCTTGATCAACCTAAGCATGGCGTTTAAACAGGTCCAAAACGCTAGATACCATATGCAAAGCCAAGCTGAGTAGCAGAAGTTGGTGCTTCATGAGCCCCAGCCAAAGCTTGTCCAGGCTTTCCTTATCCAGATCCAGTTGTTCTGACGAAAGCCGGCTATCACTAAAGAATACTAAAGACAAAACTCGACCATTCACAGCACTAAGGATGAGCCATGATGTGCCGATCAATGTTATTTGCTGTGCTTGCTTGAATTTCTGGATGCAGGCAGAGTGCCATCTTCACACCACCAAAAGATGCATCCGCTGCTTGCAGTACTCTTTGAACTTGCTCCCTGAAGGGCAGGCGGCCGTTCCCTAGAACAAAATGAAAATGTGCTACAACACAATAATATGTATCATGTAATCCTAGATGTGCGAAGAAGACAGAACTACTTCTAAGGTGTAATAATGGTGGATTTCCAAAATATGTAAAAAGCCAATTAAAGATTTTTGTACCAGTTGGTAAGGATATTAAGATTGTATCTCCTGTAAAATAAGCAGTATACAATATACATATAATGCCCCCAAACAAGACACCCAAGAAGCGAAATAGATGACATGGCAAAGATCATTGATTGGTTACCAAAGATTATTTATCGTAAAATCCCAGAAAGGGAGGGAGGGAGGGAAGAGACGCCTGGCGCGTTTGTTCGGGATAAAGATGGTCAGGTCCAGAGGCGTCGGTCGACAGAACTGCTGCGATGGTGTGACACAGAGCGGCTGGGTCTTGGCATTGACATTCGCCTTATCTGACACAAAGTGTGGGCCCAATTACTGTTGAGGATTCGGAGGAAGGGCTTCCTGACATCTTCCCCCACCCCCGGAAGCTCAACCTTTTACCTTCAACCCTCTGGAGTCTAAGGCCAGGATTTAGGGTATGAACGGGGTGTTTGGGCTTTGGCTTCTCCATTCGGTTGATGGCTGGTTTTGGTTTGCCGAGACATAGCACCAAAACCTCCTAGGCAGTTGTTTACAGCATGTGGACAACTCTCAAACCCTCCAAGATGCTATAGAATTGAAGGAAATAAACGGAAGTAGTTGTTTGACCCTCTAAGTCAAACGCTTGAAGCCTGCATATTGAACTCAAAACGCAGGTCCGGTCCAAGCAAAAGAGTAGAAAGGCCATTGCCGCATTTTATATATGCCGTTGCTTGGACAGCCGTTCTGCAAAGTCCCAGCCGCCCCGAGGTCGATCCTGGGCGCCACGGGCAAGAAATGGCAAGAATCAGTCCATGTTCTTGACTAGATCATGCAAACGCAGCAGTGGGAAAAACGCAGCTTGTATACACATGTATACAGCACACCAAAACCCAATTCCACTTTGACCTGCAAAATCCAAACCCTAAGCCGCGGCTCAGCACTTGGCAGGACTTTGCCTTGCCTGCAAAGGCGGCGAAGTGTAAAGGGGAGAAGCCGCACACGCCGCCTTGCGCATTCGATCATTCTCTTCTTGACAAGAATGACAAACTGCAAGCACGGGCGAGCTTACCGCACAAGTCTGAACACCTCCATCCTTCACAGGCCCGACTCGCATCCTCGCCTCTGGATAACTCATCCCAGATCCTTGATTGGATCCGCGGAGTCAACGTTTCCGAACGTTACAGGGCCATGTTGACGCTGTGCTAAATCAGATCTGTTGCAATCTCCGTGTGCTATGGTTTCGGGACTGATGTAGACGCAGCGCTCAGACCTTTTAACATCGCCGGAAACATCAAGCCCTTGCAGCATACAGAGACTATATTCAACATGCATGTTTTCTCACATGCCAAAGTTGATTATCGCACATCCGCGAAAAGAACATGTCGCCCCGCTGTGGATGCCCCTGGATGGAATTACAAAGCTGCAGCAACAGTACACATCAACATACATCAACATATGCTAAACCCTGAAGTGGACTCTGCATGCCGTCTCAATGCGTGAGAGCTCAAAACTCACGATGCTTGGCGGCTGCTTGTAGATAGTTTTTGGGACTCATCAAAACGACCTTTTCGTTACTTCTCTTGCTGGCCTAGCGAAAATGGAAAAGTTGCCGGATTGGAGGAAGTAGAGCACTTTCAAACATGATCACATTTTGATGATTTTGGTCAATCGCATTCTATCTTTGTGTGTGGAGCTGCTGTTTGTGTGACAGTATTTCGCTGCACTCACATGTTTTGCAGGTATCATTGCCTAAGGTGGTTGTGAACTCTCCGGATTCTCAAGCCATTGCCGGAAAGGGCGCCCGAGAATCCAGAGTTAGTGGCGCTGCCAGCTATACATGCCCAACTGCAGCGTCGGCCCGCCTCGAGCCCCGAAACCATTTGCCTGGTATGGGGTCCGAATGCCTCGTGGACAATGTCCTCCTCAGAAGTTTGTCTAATCGAGCAGAGCCTCGACTACTACGACATCCATTCCAGCAGGTTGTTACCGCATGGCCCGTCCAGTACTTCGAGAATTTTCAGCACGAGGCGCCGAGAAGCTGAGACAAAGTCGGGATGGTCGGACTATGTCGGACTTCGTCCTGGTACCGAGGACTCTCGAGCCGCCTTCCTGCACACAGGTCCGGCACGAGTCCGGAATACCTCGACGGATATACCAATATTCAAACATCGGCCACAGCCGCTTCCCGGCCTACGCTATTTAACTGTGTACGCCTTGTGGCTTTGCGCGTGCCCGACTTCATTGGCTGTTATGTGCGCTTCAAGACCTTCGCGGGCACTATCCTCAGAGTGGATTGCGGAGGTCATTGAGAATGAAACAAGACAGTGGAGAACGCATACAACTCCAAAATGGGCGACTTGGTGTGGGTTTCCAAGAAGGGTGAAATCAAAAAATGCTGAGCTCATTCGCGATTTGGGGCCAGACCTGGGATTGGTGATCTACGAAGAAAGCGTTCTGGGTCCTGCTTTGGCCGACTGGACCTTCCTGTGTACTCGTTGCAGAACCTGTCGCATTTGCTCTCTGGACATCGGGGGCTCCAAGCTATCTTGAAAAAAGGGAACCCTATCTCGTGCGGAAGGGCGAAGCAAGTGGCTGGCGGGCTTGGACATGCATACGCAAAGTCCGCAAATCAGAGCTGCGAAAACAATTGAACTTGAACCTTCCAGAGACTTTTTTGGAAGGTTTTGCCAACCAAGCTGGCGACCACAAAAAAGAATCTGGATGCCATCACAATCATCACACACACACACAGAATGAGATAGAATGAGATCAGTACACGAGTGACAACGCCTCGATCGAAAATCACTCATTCTTCGGGACGAATTCTGCACCCTGGGAAACGTCGAAACACCTGCCTCATAAAGTGGGAGAAAAACATGCGTTGATGGGACTGAAACAGGCGATCGCCGATATTCGAGCCGATGCACGCCCCGAGAACATCGTCGATTTCCTCTCACGGCGACACAGCATAGTCATCAGATAATCTGGTGTTTTCTGGAAGAGAGTGGACCTGGTTTGACATCGAGACTGACTTGCTATTGTTTTTTTGTACCATTGTGCAACTCATGTACTTGCGATCAAGTGCCGGCCCGTCCTGCTCCGGACACCCGCGGAAGCACATGAGGGAGGAGTTCAGCATGAAAGAGCACTTCAAGTGTTGTGGACCTCCTTCCCCCCGACAAATCTGCTGTATTCGCGGAATGGTGGAGGGCGGGGGTGCATTTTGGGGGAAGGGGGGGTTGCTGGCTCACTCAGAGAATTCGCAGAAGGAGAACGGTTCGCAGCACGTTCCTTCAGCTTGCCTCGCCCCAAAGGCTTTAGACAGGGAATCTCAGCTTTCGGGCTGGCCGCAAGGCTTGAGACGCCGGGCAGCCTAGTTGTCAGCAGAAAGGTTCGCTGACTCAAACATCTCAGGAGGGATGGGTTCAGGCCTTCAAACATCTTTTAGCTTTCTTCAAAGCGGCTCGTCTTCAAGCTGCTGCGCCAGCTGAGCGATCGCCTTTGCATCATCGCTGAGGCAGGCCTCGACGAGAAGGCACCAAAAGGTGCGCGACGAGGGCACCTGACAGGCACCAAGCACCAGGAGCAATCGCAATTGCCCATGGCTTCCCTTATATCCCCACAAACCTGTTTTCACACAATTTCGAGTGACGTATAGTGACGTTGTAAACCAGGATATGTTCGGTGTTTTTTTGGTTCTCTGTGGAATCCCCTGATGACATGCTCTAACTCAAAATAGAATTTAAGACTATCCCAATATACCCCGAACTCACTCTCACGCTCAATCTTCATTCTGGGGGAGAGAAGAAACCCCGCAAAGAAACTCCCAAATTGTCTGGAAGTTTGAGCCCCAAGCCCCTGCAGGGGCGATGGCGACCTCGTAGATCCCCAAGCTATGGCGTTATGCAGCACAGACATGTCCACTACAAACGCCAGACAAGACCCTGAAATCAACTTCCGTGCAAGCAGCGCACAGGGCAACGAGTCTACATGCAGGCCGCACATATGCTTTTGGGCCAAGAAGCCGCCAGAAAGGACTCCTGCACAAATCGCTGCTGTCAAGACGCGTCTCGCAGCGGCCCATCCCCCCTACAGCATTTCACTGTCCGCATCACACACAACACACACACACACACAAACAAACACACAAACAAACACACAAACAAACACACCAACAAACACACAAACAAACACACAAACAAACACACAAACAAACACACAAACAAACACACAAACAAACACACAAACAAACACACAAGCAAACACACACACACACACACAACCACACAACCACACAAACACACAAACACACAACCACACAACCACACAAACACACAAACACCCAAACACGCAACCACACAAACACACAAACCTACAAACACGCAAACACACAAACACACACAAACACAAACACACAAACACACAACCACACAACCACACACACACACACACACCCACACCCACACCCACACCCACACCCACACCCACACCCACACCACCACACGCACGCACGCGCTGCGCGCGCACGCACGCACGCACACGCACGCACGCGCCAGCGCACGAGCGCACGGCGCACGCGCACGCACGCGCACGCGCACACGGCACACGCACACGCACACGCACCCGCACCCGCACACGCACGCACACGCGCACGCGCACGCGCACGCGCACGCGCACACGCACACGCACACGCACACGCACACGCACACGCACACGCACACACACACACACAAACACACAGAGAAACACACAGAGAGACACACCGAGAGACAGACAAACACAGAGACACAGACAAACACACACACACACACACACAGACACAGACACAGACACGGACACATGCAGACACATGCAGAGACACACACGGACACGCACACAAAAACACACGCAAACACACACAGACACAGACACAGACACAGACACAGACACAGACACAGACACAGACACAGACACATGCAGACACATGCAGAGACACACACGGACACGCACACAAAAACACACGCAGACACACACAGACACACACAGAGACACACACAGACACACACACAGACACACACACAGACACACACACAGACACACACACAGACACACACACAGCCACAACAAGACACAAACAAGACACACACACAGACAACACCACACAGACACACACACAGACAAAAACACAGACACACACACAGGGACACACACACAGGACACACACACACACACAGACACACACACAGACACACACACACAGACACACACACAGACACACACACAGACACACACACAGACACACACACACACACACACACACACACACACACACACACACACACACACACACACACACACACACACACACACACACACACACCTTTTGGAGAGATTTGGAGAGCATCTGGGAGGAACACAATGAAAGTTCAGTCAGAATTGGAAGACAAAGAACCTGTATGGAGATCATACAGTCTGCTTCAGGAACAGATGCTATCCGGCAACACTGAAAAACCCAAATTGGTAGGAGAAAGAGAGAACAACTTCGTTATTCGAAACCGGGAACGAGCATAATAGACACGAAATGGCAAACGTCCTATGGCCCGTGTATTTCTCAGCTTGCTCACCTCGCTAGCGCAAGCTGGATGAATAACTTGAAGTTTGAATCAACCGCATTTCCCTTTGAACGAAAGTTTCCTTGCTCGGTGGTTTGGGAAAACTCGAAAACACTGGCACTGCCATGTTTGCGGTTGTTCTTTTCGTCAAAAATGTGGTTTATAACGGCGATAAAGACATTTGGAACCGGTAGGGGTCACCATGTGTGTGTGTGTGTGTATGTGAGTGAACTCTGTTCCTAAGAGTAGAATTAGGTGTAAGTGGGTTGCACGAATCAGATTTGCAGGGAGTAGAAGAACTAGGTGTAAATCAGATTTGCAGGGAGTGCAAGCAGTGTGCAAGCAGCCCGTTCAGTCTTGCAACAACACAGACATTGAACGAGTGCTGGTGACGCGTGTGATGGTGTGTGTTGGAATGGGGTGGGTTTCGAGGGGAGGGGGGGATTCGGGATTCTTGGCTTGACGTTGGTGTCCAGCTCGAGTGATGTGTGATGCTCTGTGGCATTCTGTGGCCCGAGCGTAGAGTGGGTGTAGGTAAGGATGGTCCAGTAAAGGCTCCCTTCCCCCCCACCTTCCCCCAAACACCAAAGCTGTTCGTAAACGCTAGGCCGCTGGGCAGCCGTTCTGCTACTATTTCCGCCGCCCATCCAGGCAACTTCCTATTGCCAAGCAGCATGGCTTGGATGTGGATGCACAAAGCAACTGAATGCAGCGCGGCAATGTTCAAGTAGTTTCAAGAAGGTCCTGCTCTGTTTGGCCTGTGGACTCGGCGAACGCCTTCCTGCAATTTTTGAGGGTCGGCAAAAGTACCCTGCACGCGCTCATCCCCTGCAAGCCCCGCTCATGATGAAGTCGCTGTTTTGATCATAAGCCGCTCGACGTTCTGGATCTGAAAGTACCTGCAATTGTTGGAACTCTGAGGCCCTTTAACAAAAGCGATGGATAGCCGACGGCATGTGAAGCTAGCGCAAACATTTCATCGAGCCCACATGGCAAGTTCACTGCCCGGCCTCATAAGCTTCTTGCAGTTCCTGAAATTTCTCAGTGGCCTGTGGGTCGTTCTGGTTCTTGTCCTGCAGTGGTCAACTCCCTCTAAGTCTTCATTGAGCAAGTACAACAACGATAATATTGGCATGGACGTCGAAGTAAAATCTAAAACAGCATTGCGCCCCACTTACGGTTCACGCCAGGGTGCCGGATGCAGTTTCAGGGCCTCAGTTCTTTTGCAGGGACTTCGTGAGGACACAATCAATGCACAAGCAACCGAGAAAAAACACACCAGATCACACCAGCCAAGAAAAAGCTAAAGTCGTCCTGAAAACTAGGGATCTGACCAGCTTCCGATACCTTGCTCACAACATGTCAAAGGGATGGGCGTCGCGTGAGACGAAGTGAGAAACATTTGCGCCGCTTCCAATGGGTTCCAATGGGAAGCTGTGACCGCGAAGTGCTTGATTTGGATATGAGCTTATCGGCCCAACTGCAAATTGCTATCAAATTGTTATAAGCTGCCTGCTCCAATTGATCCAATTGCGAGTTGCCCTTACGAGCCGATACCGTCCGTGCCATCGAATGCCTCCGAGACGCTGCAGCTTGATGTCATCGGAGCTGGCGTCTGGGGCCACCCCCAGAATCCTGAACAATGGCGCTTCAATGCAATGCGGGAAACCCTCCATGCAAATTTTCTCGAAAGTCCTCGCATGTCCTGATATTATTGGCTGAGGCGCTGGTAGTAAGTGCCGCCGCTATCGGACTCGGCAACTGGCACCTTGCAAAAAAAAGAGCTTGGCATGACATCAAAGACGGATGGCAATAGCAAAGCCGGATAGGACGGCAGCTAGCCACGTTTGCAGCGTTCCAAATGATGCCGAATACGGGTATTTTGCACAACGTTGTCGAATTCACCGGCCTCATCCGCCATTAGAAATTGCCGTTTGGACGCGGGGTTGAGGACATGTGATCGATCTCTGTAATCCCGATCTAGCTGTGAGCTGTTGGCCGGGTTTGTGGACCATGTGACAAGTGCTAGCCATTTTGGCTCAAGCCATTTTTGCTCAAGTAGGGACAAGAAGATACATGGTCTTTGGGGCGTGACTGCTTCGTGACAAAGTGTTGCAGAACCTGCAGCTGTTGACGTGATTGACAAATGTCGGAATCAATGACACCGCCTACAAAAGCAGTGAAACGGGCCACTCGTTCTCCTTTGACTTCGATGGATGATGATGATGATGAGGCGCTAGAGTTGCAAGTTGGGGGAAATGTGGGCTTGTCCGTTGCAACTGTAGCAAACATCGTGCGTAGCGAAATTCAGCGAGGGATAGCCCCGGTGGAGCAGCAATTGGCGACCTTGCAATCAGCGTTTGGGGACAGGCTGGGACAATTGGAAAGTTCAGTGTCCGCTCAGGGCTCTCGTATCCAGAAGCTTGAGCAAGTCATGGCCAGTGCTGATGGCACACCAAGATCAAATGCGTCAGACCACTCTGCAAAAATCGAGAAGCAAATCAGCGATTTGTTTGCTCAAATGGAATTGCTGAGAGAACCTCCTGTCGCCATCCAGCATGATTACACAAGAACAATGGTTGTCGGAGGGCTCCAAGGCCTCACGTCTTTGCAGCAAGCCACGTTATGGTTGTCCAAAACGTTGAACTCGCTCAGTGGCCCATCACATGTCGGAACCTACATGAAGTCCAAGGTCTTTCAAGGGCTGATGTTTGCAAAGTTCAAGTCCACAACGGATCGAGACATTGCAGTCGCTTTGCTTCGTAGCGCTGAATTGACCGAAGCCGGCAACAGGGTCTGGGCGACGCAGGATCTCCCGTTAGAGAAGCGAACTCGCAAGACATTCCTACTTGGTCTGAAATGGCAGCTGGGCGAATGGGGTTTCATGAAACGAGAGATTGAAATCGATGATGATTATAGTCAGCTCAAAGTGGGTTCTTCCGTGGTCCTCACGCTATCCATCGTGGGTACGCACATGCAATGCAATTGGGTAGATACATGGGCGCAATGGGAGGATCTGCAGACAAGCGAGGAACTCAAGCAGCTCTTAGCCCGTGCAAGCAACTCCTTACAGAAGATGGGTGGGGCCAAGGGTCGTGGCAAAAGCAAATCGGGAGTGGCCGAGGCCACTTCATAGGGACAGCTCCGTTCGGGTCCAACAGTTTCACCAACACAGTCGCGCACTTCAGGTCACACACCTGTTTTCAAAGTGGATAAGCCGACTATTTACGCAATTCAGGCACAGACACATTTATGGGTTTTTTCCAAGAATGCTCGTTTGCACACGTCAAACAGGCTTGCGGAGATGCTGAGTGAATTATCAACTTGCGATTGGGATGTGGTGTTATTCAGTGAAACACGCCGCGCACATGGAGACTGCAAATTACAAGACGGTCATCGTTTATATACCACGCAACAGCATGCAGGTTCAGCAGGCGTTGCTGTTCTATTGCATGCTCATCATGTGCAACATGTCAAAAGAGTTTCGGCCATTGGCAACCGTATTATACATGTTGATGTCAACGTCGATGGTATCCACCGATTCATTGCTTGTTATATGCCACATGCCGGGTACCCGTATGCTGATCTTTGCGATGTATATGAACAGTTGCGACTTATCCTTGCCGAAGCACGTCAAATGGGTTACAAAGTTGTTCTTGGTGGGGACTTCAACACACAGCAACATGTGGGAGTGCGAGGTGACTTGTTTGCAGACTTGATAAATGAATTCTTTTTTTCTCGCGAATCGCGCGCAGCACGATGATTCATGGACGTTTTGTAGTTCCAGTGGGGTGAAACGCCAAATTGATTTCATTATGCACAGCTCCAATATCAATTCTTCAGACGCGGCGCCTACGACAAGTCTTGACATGGGTTCCGATCATAGAGCCGTACGATGCAGAGTTCAAGTGCCACCGATCACACGCAGACCACGCAGAAAGACATGTGGATTACGAGGCTGGCTCCCGGACAATCCGAGTTCTTATCATGCAATTCTTCGAGATAAACTTCAACAAAAACAGCCAGACAATATTCTCGATTTGGAAGATGTGGTTATCGCATCCGCAATGGAAGTCAATGCCCCTTCCTGTCGTGCTCCTGACCTCGAAGAGCCATGGGCGAATGATAATTTTCAGCTTCTTCTCCGACGTCGTCGTGATTGCAAAACTGTTGCTGAACGCGCACGTCTTTCCAAACAAATTCGGAAGGTCCTTCGAGCGCACCAGCGACGCAAATTGAATGACAAGATGACGAACATTTTATCGTCGGGTCGTGATTTTAAGCGATTGGAATCACTTCTTCGTACTCCCGAACACTCTCAGCAACATCGCCCTGAAGAAGTACCATCAACGGAGGATTTTACCTCGTATCTTCGTGGTATATTCTCTACCGACAGTGCCTGGGAGCAGACCTCGCACTCTTCATTTGCGGATATCTTGCCATTTTCTTTGGAGGAGTTGCAGGCCGTTCTGAAGCGCATGAAAAATCAGCGAGGGGCTGATGACGGTGGTCTTGTCGTTGAGATGTTCAAATTTGGTGGCCGAGATCTTCACCAATGCTTGCTTCAAATTTTCAACAACATGTTGGCCAGTGGCAGATTGGAATCTTCGTGGCAACATTCCCTCTTCAAAATGTTGCCGAAACCCGGTGATTCGTCTATGGTAGCAAATTGGAGACCAATCGCAGTTCTCAAAATCACCTACAAGATCTTTTCGAAGCTCGTACATACGAGAATCCAAGATCTACTGGAGCGTGAACAGAGTTGGGATCAAATGGGTTTCCGGTCATTACTTGGAGTGGATCACGCGCTTGCTGTTCTTGACACGGTTTTGTCCAAAGCTGTGGAGTGGAATTTCGACGTTTGGTGCGCCAGTCTGGATTTGAAGAAGGCCTTTGACCGCATCGAGTTCAAACCACTTTTCGAAGCATTGCGATGTCAGGGTTTGCCCGACTGCTACATCAGCCTATTGCAAACATTGTACCGCTCACAATCTGGATCAGTGAAAAAGGGTTCCCCATTTGACGTCGAACGCGGGGTGAAACAGGGAGATGTTATGTCGCCCGCTTTGTTTAACGCTGGATTGGAGCACGCTTTCCGACAGTGGAAACAACGACTGATGGAGCATGGTCTTGACGTTGGAGCAGTCGAACGACTCACAAACATCCGATACGCTGATGACATCATGATTTACGCAAAATCTTGGCAGGAGCTTGTATATATGATCGAATGCCTCGTACAAGAACTTGGAAAGATCGGTTTGCATTTGAATGCATCAAAAAGCCGAATTATTACTACAGCCCACATAGACGGACCCATGTACATCAATGTTAGCGACGACATGGTCGAGGTATTGACTGCAGGCGACGTTCACAAATACTTGAGACGACATATCAGTGCAGATCCTCGATGCCGCAGTCAGACAGAACTCAAACATAGGTTCCAAGTGGGATGGGCAAAGTTTCGCAAACACCGCCATATTCTTACAAACAAACATGTGTCCATCGCATTGAGATTGAAATTTTTCGATACAGTATTGACTCCAACCGTTCTGTTTGGATTACACGTATTGCCGTTGACTCTGTCACAAATTCATACACTGGATGCATTGCAACGACGAATGCTTCGCTCTGTGGTTGGCTGGGTGCGAGTTGCAAACGAAGATTGGCACAACACTATGAGTCGGATGAAACACAGACTGACTGCAGCGCTACACATACACCCTGTGGACACCTGGTCTCGCCAGCTTGCGCGACGTCAGTACAACTTCGCTTTCCAAATGTTGCGAATTCCCAATTGGGCCGCGGCTGTTGTCAAATGGTGTCCAGAAAGCAACTGGCAAGCAAATTTTGCTTTACAACTACATCGTCGACCCGGTCGCCCGCTAACGAAGTGGGATGATCGACTCCGCAGTTTTGCAGCCTGTAATTTTCCAGCGGTGAATACGTGGACTGATATTGCTGAAACAGCAAATTGGCCGCCCGCTGCAAGCCAGTACGTACAAAGCTTTACGAATGTATAGACCGAATCGTGCTAACACTCAAGCACGCCCCCATTCCCCATGTCCTTATAGGACCGTGGTCCACTAGCAGCAGGAACAGTCTGACGCTTGTAATGTTTCACGTGGACCCGAACGGGCGAAAGCGAAAGCGAAAAGTGACAAGTGCTAAATGTTGCTAAAGGCAAGATGCTGAATCTGCTGACAGCTACTTTGCAGGGTTCCGTGGGGGTGGGAATTGAAAACATAACTTGTGTGCATGCAATTGCTTGGCACTTGGTCGACGTGGCATGTTTACCTTAGCTCACCACACGGCCACACAACGCTTACAGAATCTTACTTGTCTTCTCGACGTCACCTGACCGCGGGTGAGCAGACAAACTTGCCGCGAGGTTTCGCTTCGGATCCCTGCGTCCATGCCGTGTATGCGCGACGTCGATCCTGCCGCGCCGTCAAGGCAGTGTGGGACGCATGAAACGTCGACGACGCAGGGAGTGGGCTTTGGCCGTTGCCTACAACTCTCGGCATGCCTGCTGAGGTCGCTTTCGAGCGCTGCTGCCATCGACGCAGCGTCTTCCCGTAGAAGCCGTCCCAGCCGCCAGCGCAGGAAAGTCGGTCGAAGGCGAAGGCTCAACCGGGCTGTCGCAAGAGCAGCCAGCAGCAAAAGTGTCCACCCCCTAGTGTCCCCCTCGACGCCCGCTAACTGCTCAGGCTCCCATCCCTTTCCAGCGCTTGCGAAGCCAGCCGGAACAGGCTGTGCAACTCTGACCTCACCCATGCGTTGCGCCGCGGCCGCGTCGTCGCATTTCATGTGCGACGTTTCGTGGCGTCAACCTGGACGCGCGCGGGCCCGAGTTCGTGGTGCGCGCTTTGTGCATGGTTACAGGAGGAAAACGTTAGGGCAAGGCGCCCATCGTTGTGTTCCAGGTTGGGTCGGGCCATTTCTTCCAACAGGGCTGCCATGGGCTGCCCACTGCCACGTGGGATCACGTGGGTGCCACGTACCCCCGTGAGCGGAGGTTTTTTGCGCATGCAGGGGCCGCATGCGTGCAGCCAGCGTGAATGGGTGGCATTCCCCATTTCTGCCCAGGAGGCCCAGCATGCTGCGTGACTCAACCCACTGCAAGGGGCATCTCATATGCCGGCAGACGGCTAGTCCGCTAGGAGGTCCGTGGGGAGACCAACGTTGTGCACGCACTCGCTTGGTTGTCCGGGCTAGTGAAGAGTCTGCCTGGAGTAGCCAAAGCCCGAATATTTCTACCAAGAAAGGATGGGGATGGCTCGAAATAAATAATTCTTTTACTTTCATATCTTTTCTAAATCCCTTTTATAATCTCAGAGTTTGGAGGTGGTACAGGAAAACCGTTATCCACTTGTCTTATGACTATCACCCTTTGTTGGCGAATAACGTGAGGGCAATGCGCAGAAGTTCAAGCACAACGACCCTGACCGAGCCGGCAGCGGCGGCTGCAAAAGGCGGGGGCCTTCCGAGCCCCGACCAATGCGGCGAGGAGCTGCTTTTTTTCTTTTTTTCCTCGCACCTTGTTCAGCACCGCAAGAATCTCTGGTCACTGTCGGGACCATTCCGGCACTGGTGGCCGGACGGCATCACGCCGTCAGCGGCAGGCGGCTGGCGAGGAAAGGGGCGACCTCCCAGCGCTCGTCGGCAAGGACCTCGCTGAGATCCAGCGTCAGGCCGTCAACGTTGGCCGTGCCTGCAATCGGGAGAGAAAGGAGGCTGGCGGCGAACGCCCGGGCTGCGGCGAAGGAGAGGAGCGCTGACCAGCGGGCTATCCACGCAGAAGTGGCGCTGGCGCGGAGTGCTGGGGGGACCTCACGTGCCCGGCAACGGGCAAGGAGTCGGAGGAACTGTGCTGCTTCCTCGCTCCACCGTCCGCCGACCTCCAAAGCAAGGACGACGAGCCGGCAGCGTGGGGAGTTAAGGAGCTCCGGGTAGGTCCGCTCCTTTGCTCGGCGGGCGGTGCGGAGGGCTGCCCCTTGTGTGCGTCGTTGGTGGCGGCGGGGCTGGCCCACGGAGTCCAGAGGCGAGACGAGGGTAGTGTCGACTGCTAGCTGGACACCGCCCCACGCGGGAAGGCCATTGGCAATGACCTCAATGCGCCTGGCGTCCTGGAGTGCGACTTGGACATTGAGGTCACGGAGTAGCCCGCGCCCCACGCACGTAGGTGGCCTGACCGGGGGCATGCAGCACGGTGGTCCCCGTAAACATCGAGCCGTCGCCGGCACCGGCGAGGCCGGGTATGGCCGGTCAAGCGCTGCATGCTTGGAGACAGGTGACGGGTGGCGAGGTTGTCATCAATTAGCCGGGATGCGGTTCGCTGCCACTCCTCCTCGCTGGCGGGGCGCAAGGCCGTTGTTGCAAGGTCCTCCCAGGGTGGTAGATGGAATCCCTCCTGCGCGAGGGTCTGTGCCCCCTCCTGCAAGCTGGACAAGGACAGGGCCCGGCATGGAGGGCCCGCGAGGTGGCGGAGGAGTGACCGGGCGAGTGCGGGCTCACGAGCAATGGCTGGCATTGAATCGGCCCAGGACCGGAAGTACGCAGCCGGTGCATGCTCATGTGCGCTGCGGAGGCCCAGCCCGCCATGTCGGAAGGCGAGGTGCGCGCGCCACCCACCGCATCGGGCAGGGAATAAGGGTCAACCTGCTGCACCTTCAGCAGGGCTGCGAGACATGCGAGGGCGGCCTGGTCATGCTGTGCGGCATAGGCAGCGGTCTGCGATGGGGGCACGACCCGGAGGAGGTAGGTGGCCCGCGGGCATGCGCAAAACAGGAGCAGCAGCCACGCGACTTGGAGGTCGGGGAGTGTGCGAAGCACTTGGAGGAGAGCGCGTTGCTGGGCAATTAAGATACCCAGAAACGTACTCGTCAGACCCAAGGCCCTCCCAACACCCTTGTTGTTGGACGCACCTACAGCTGGTTGTTCGTGCCGCTGTTGCATGCAGCTGTTGGTCGTCTCCACCCCATCGGGCTGGCAACGTGGGATGCCCATGCTCATTATGCGTTGCTGTGGCGCCGCGCTCTCGACACACTGCGCCTGGCGTCACCTGTTGCACCGACTGCGTTGGTACATGCACTGCATACGCTACAACAGCTCGCTTCCCAAGAAGGACGTGCCTTGCCTGTGCCTGAGGCTAAGTGCTGCTAACCCTTGCCGCCGAGGCCAACGCCCTCCCTAACAACACTTTGGTGCACTTACCTTGGGCTTGGAGAATCGTCACGCTGGCCGACGGCTACAGCCCGGCAACAGTTCAGGAGGCATTGCTACAGTACATGGTTTCATTGGGGAAGCGGTGGCTTCGGCATTCCTGCAAGATGTTGCGGCGTTGCACCATGAGGAAGCCGGCCCTCCTGCCCCGCCTCCAGCCCCCGGACCCGGTAGCCCACGCGCTAACACTGCCCCAGATCGACCTAACAAACCGAACGGCTCTCCCAGCTCCAGTTCTTCCTCTAACTCCAGCTCCTCCAGCGCTCAGAGCAGCGAAGGTGGCGTCGTTCCTGATGCGCCTAGGCGCGAGCATGAACCCGATCCTGACACCCGGTTCCGCTACCGGGCTTCCTTGGCGAACCTTGACCCTTTTATAGCTGAGGACGTCCTGGCGCGGCCGTGCTGCGTGTTTCGGGCGCCCCCGCACTTTTGCAAAGGTGTGCTCCGCAAAGCACTCCAGGTAGCGTTGGAGTTGATTCGGTCATGTTCTCGAACTGCGAACGGTGCTGATGGCATTCACTTGGTTCGCGCTTGGAAACTGTGGTTGTTCCTTCCTCGCATGCTCCTGCACCGGCCTGCAGGCGGGGCTCGCGTTGGGAAACCGGCACTGTTGGTACGGTTCCAGTCGTTCATGCAGGGTGACTGGGCGCTGTTGCTTCGAGATGCCTTGTTGCGCCCGGCACCTAGCTCACCTTGGAGAGCTGTCGGCAGCGCGACAGGCGCTCACCGCTGCACCCCTGGCCCCCGCCACCGACGCAACCTTAAACCAGCTTGCCGATCCGACCCGCCGACCGCGAGAACCATATGAACCCGCAGCTGCTCAATTGGATGCCCGACTCTCCCGTCCAGCTTGATCGCGCAGCGTTGCTTACCAATTTGCGCCGTGCGCGCAAAGGAGCAGCGCCCGGGCCTTCTGGATTCACAGCTGAAATCCTGCGAGTCGTGTTGGATGCTGACGACTCCACACACGCCTTTGCGGATGTGGCGTCGCTCTTTGCGCAGGCACAAGTCCCTGAGGACATGCGTGCGGCCCTCGGACTGGGCCGAATGGTTGCTCTCCGCAAGCCCACTGGCGGTACCCGTGGATTAGTCATCGGTGATTTCCTCCGGCGCCTCGTCGCACCTACACTCGCACAACAATTTGCGCCCTCGCTTGAAGAAGCTTGCCGCCCTCATCAATACGCCCTCGATAACCGTGCAGGCTTGGATGCTTTGGTGCACCATGTGCAGCCAGGTGCGCGCTGCGCGCTCGACCCTACCCTCACGGTTGTGGGCATCAGCCGCCAGGCGACCCTGCACGAGCTCCGCAATTTGCCCGAGGCCCGAGGCGGCTGCCCTACTGCCGTTCGCGAGGTTGTGGCTTGGGCGCCCCTCTTTTTTTTTTTGCCCCTCTTCCTTCGTGTGGCAGCAAGGTTCAACCAGCGCATCACCCAAGCTGAAGGGATTGAACAAGGCGACCCTCTCAGCACGGCCCTGTTTTTTTTTCTCCACGCACCTTTTTGCGACAGTTACCGCGGTCCCAGTGCATGAAAGCGGCATCCTACGCGGGCTAGGTTGCCGGCAGCCGGCTGGCGGACGGCGAGGAGCTGTCCCGGACCTCAGCGAGGATCTCGTATAAGTCGGGCGCAGCTCCCTCATCGCAGATGTCGCCTCCCGGCGGTAGCTCAAGGAGGGACGCTGCGTATGCGCGCATGGCCGCGACGGCGAGGAGGCCGGACCAGCGCTGCACCCACCCTGCGCTTGCGGCGGCCCGGAGTGGGGGTGGGAGACTCGCCGCGCGGTGACGCGCAAGGTGGCGGAGGAAGGCGGCGGCTTCAGCACCAAAGCGCCCTCCTACCTCGACCCCGACGACGACGAGCCGCGCACGCCGGGCGCTCGCGAGCTCGGGGTACGTTTGGCGCCACTTTCGGCGAGCGGCGGCCTGTACTGCTGCGCCTGGGCGGGTGTCGGCGCCCGCCGGACTGACGATAGTGGCATCAATAGCGAGCTGCGCTCCGTGCCAGAGGGGTAAGCCGTTCGCGACGACTTCGATGCAACGTGTGTCGCTGACAGGAACATCGATGTTCATGTCGGCGACCCTGACGTTGCGGGCAACTCGCGCACCACCTTCTCGGCATACCTGGGCGACTGCATGCTCGAGTGGGAGGGCCCTGGACGCCAAAACGCCAGACGTGGCACAAGCTGAGCGGTGGTCTCCCAAGGGGTCAAGGTGGCCTCTGCAACGGCAATTGCGGGGCGCCAGTGGGAGCGGCAGCCGCAGCCGTCGCAAGAGGAGCACACGGAGGTGAGCGGGCGGCAGGGCAACAGCTGCTGACGTAGGGAAGACTGTGAGCGCACGGCCCGAGTGGGATCCAGCTTGCGAGCGCAGCAACGCTCGGGACGCAGGATCGAGGTGAGAAAGGTGCGTCTCGAGGGCGCGCTCGTCGCAAGCTGCGACGGCAGCCCGCTGCCAGCCGCGCAGGCATTGGTCCCAGTGCGCCGGGCGCGGCGCGGCTGGCGCGGCCCCGGCGCCCCAGTCAGGAGCACTTGGAAACCAGCCTCACGGACGTGTGCTGCAGCCGCACAGGCGGCAGCGAGGGTCGGCGGCATGCCCGCGCGGCGCACGGAGGCAGGCTAGTAGTATCTAGTAGTTGCTCCGTGTCGGCGGGGAAACGCTGGAGCAACGCAGGGAAAGCATCCTGCCAGGAGGCCCAGTAAGCGGCGTTCGAGCTGGAAGCTGCAGAGCGCAGGCCCAAACCCCCCAAACCGAGCGGAATCCGCGCTGTGGCAAGGGCATCCGCCGACAGCTCGGGCGCTTCCTCCCCAAAGAGCAGAGTGCCGAGACACGAGGCAATTGCGCGATCGTGCTACCTGGAATAGTCAGCGGTGCAATGCGGGCGCAGCATGCGGAGGAGGTAATTGGCGCGGCTGATGCGCAGAAAAGTCCTGTTTTGCTTAGGTTTGAGGGGACTGCAGCATCATGTGTGGTGGCAAATTCCCGCGTGAGCCTGGGGGGAAGAGAACGTATGAGAACTATTGCGAACTGAGCCCGTGGGGCCGCAGTGTACAACAGTAACAGCCAAGAAACCTGAGTATTTTTTTTCTTCGCGTCAGTGTTCACTGTCCCTGTGCACGGAATCGGCAGCCTGCTCGGGCCGCAGTGTGTCAAGCACGCAAGGGCAACCTGGACGGCTGCTCAGCCTCGGCGAGCTCCAGGACCCAACCAAGCGGCGTGCCCTCGTCTCCGGTTGGCTGCGCCGGCGCGCGCCAGCAACCGCCCAACAGCGTCGAGGCCAAGGCGCGCTGCAACGCGCAACCCAGCTGCCCCCACCACCGGCGTTCCCACCCGGAGCGGGCAGCAGCTCGCAGCGCCCTCGGCGCGCGCAGGGGGCGCTGTTGCGCGAGGTCGCGGACGAGGTCGTGCGCCTCTTGCCCACTTCGTCCGCCGACCTCCACAGTCAGGACGACGAGGCGTTGCGGGCCCGGACCGGCTAGTTCGGGGTAGCGCTGTTGTTTGCGCCGCCTCGCGACGTCGATGGCAGCCCCATCCCGATCCGACAACTGACCGCGGCGTACCTGCGCGCAAGCGCGCTCGCGCAGCCGCCCAGCATCAGCGCCTGCGGATCGCTGCAGGCGCTGCTCCGGAGACGGCGCCGCTTCCAGCAGTTCGCGCCAGCACCCAGCCTCGAAGGCTCGGATCCGCTCTAATAAGGCGGCGCGGCCAGCTGCGCCCGCTTCGTGCGGTCGCGCCAACAAAAGGCGTGGCACCAGCAGGAACAGCTTCCAGGCACGCTCTGCTGTGACATCGGCCGCCGGGTTCGGCGCGTGCAGGCCACGCAGCGCGTGCACGAACGCACGGCGCACGCCAGCAGCTAGCCAGCTTCCGTGCAGCAGACCGTGTCCACCTCACTGCAGCTGAGTTGGGAGAAGCTTTGCGCACGGCTAAGCGTGGCAGCGCTGCTGGCCTGTCCGGCGCGGCGGTGGAACACTATCGCTTGCTGCTGGAGGACGAGGAGGCGATGGACTTGCTAGCGCACGCGGCATCCCTTTTGGCGAATGCTGATGCGCCCGCCGCCGTGCTGCAAGCCCTCGCGTTGTCCCGGCTCACCGCCCTTTCCAAGCCCGGCGGCGGCGTGCGCGGGATCGCGACCGGAGACACGCTACGCCGACTGGTGTCACGAGCGTTGGCGCGACAGCATGTTGTTTTTTTTTTTCTCCTCGCGCCTTTTTGCATCCGCCGCAGTCAGGGTCGGGTCGGTCGAGTCCACGGGTCCCCGTCGAGGGCCCGGGGGAGGGACCTAGGCCCGGCTGGGCAGACGGCTTGGTGCCGGGACCTCGCTCTCGCTCCAGCGGGCGTCAGCCAGGAGCTCGTGCAAGGCTGGGGGTGTGCCAGCAGCACAGGGCTCAAACGGGACGGGGAGCTCGAGGAAGGTAGCCGCAAGCGCGCTCTGCGCAGCGACGGAAATGATGCCACTCCACCGGAGGACCCAAGCAGCCTGGGCAGAAGCCCTCAGCGCGGCGGGGGTGCCGACAGCCCGCCGAACGAGCAAGGAGGCGCACGAAGGTGGCAGCTTCAGAGTCCCAGCGCCCCCCGACTTTAAGCCCGAAAACGACGAGCCTACACCGCCGGCTGCGGTCAAGTTCGGGATAGGTTTGCCGCCGCTTGCGGCGCGCAGCGTTGCGCAGGGCACTGCCAGGGTGGGTGGCAGCCCCGGCTTGCGGCAGCCCCTCGCGCGTCACAGGGCTGACGAGGGTCGCATCGACCGCGAGCTGCGCGCCATGCCACAAGTTGAGGCCGTTGCACACGACTTCGATGCGCCGTGCGTCGTGGACAGGCACGTCGAGGTTCATGGCCGACAAGGCGACGTTGCGCCCGACACGCGCGCCGGCCTCCTGGCAAACCCGGGCTACAGCGCGTTCAAGGGGCAGCGCGCGGGATGCCAGGACGCCAGAGTTGGAGCAGGCGGCGCGGTGATCGCCATACGATGCTGACACGTTCGACCGCGCCACGCGGCCCTTCCAGTTCGCATGCCCACCCCCTAAGGGGGGGGAGGGGTGGGGGGGGGTTGGAAATAGGTGGCCGCCTATTGCTGTTAGAGTGGTTGGGGGGGTGGGAGGGGTGGACTACTCTATACTACTCTAACATGTCCAACATAGAGCACAAGTGCAAAAAGCATACTACATACATCACAGTCACGCGCAGAACCCCATTTGGTGCCACGTATTTCTTCTTTCGCTACTAATACGGTAGTCGTAGCGATACAAGAAGTACGTGGCACTGAAGGGACTCAGTGGCAGTTTTAGAGAGCCCTCATAGTCGGGAGAGTGAGTCCCCCCCCCTTCCCTCCCGCTTTTTGTTTCTTTTGCTATACTAACACTGCTACGACTGCTTTTACTTATACAGCTACTACGACGACGATGGCGTATCTGGGCAAGTCAGATCCAAAAGCTATATGTTTTGGATCTGACTTGCCCTACATTAGGCACATTTGGGCAAAGTCAGGTCCAGATGTAATATCATTTAACGCTACTTTTGGGTCTGACTTGCCCAAATTTGGGCACATTGGGCCTGATTGCTGCACAGCCACAAAAAACTTCGAGATCGGTCACGCTCGCATGTAATAGGCGCGGGCATATCTTCCCACCTATTTTTGTTAGAGCCCCCCTGTCTGGCAACAATGGGCTGGCCACCTACTAAAAATAGGTGCCACGCAGAGTAACCCCCCCTTATCCACCTGGCAGTGGGTTAAAATTCGGGTTGTTGCGGGGGGTCCCCCCCGCCCTCTGCTACAAGCCTTGTCGCGGGCAGGTTGTTTCATACCTTTGTCGCGCCGCTACTTTGAACCCACTTTTCTTAGTTGGGTTTTGTAAGGGTTTAGGGTAAAGGGTTTAGGCTTAGGGTTGGGGTTTCGGATGAAGGGTTAAGGGACCGCAGGGATTTTACTGGAGAGCCTTAAACCCTGAACCCTGTAAATATAAACCCTGGGCTTCTCGTTCACGGTTGTCCTACGGATGGGCACCTGCTGGCTCGAGCAGTCGCGCGGGTTGTCGCGGGTATGTCGCGCCCTGTCGCAGGCCTTGTCGCGGACTGAGAGTGAAAATTGCTGCAGACACGCATCAAGGTCGCATCGAGATTGGCAATGAGAAAATTCAATGGTATTGCTGTCTTGTCGGGGGGGGGGGGGTTGTAGCCTTGTCGCGGGGGGGGTTGTCGCGGACACGGCACGTCTGTTACAAACCTTTGTCGCGGAGGGACCCCCCGGTGCCTGTTACAAGCCCGGAAAAAAAACTCACTGCCACCTATCATAAGGGGGTGGGCATAGTTCGCGCTTCAGGCCCGTGCGGGGACGGATTGCTTGGCAGCGATGCTGCGCGCGGCGAGCGAGTTGGATGCCGACGCCACCATCGTCTCGCTCGACGGAAGGAGCGCCTATGACGCGGTCTCACGTGCCGCCTTCCTGAAGAAGCTGCGTGAGGTCGCTCCAGCCCTCGTCCCATATGTGCGGGCGTGGTACGGCGGCACCTCCACGTACCTGTGGTGGGACGCCGAGGGCCGGGCCACGAGATCTCGCAAGGTGACGGCGGCAAGCAGGGAGATGCGTAAGCGCCGGCTCTGTACTCCCTGGCGCAACACGATGCCCTAGCTGCGGCGCAAGGGCGATTGCAGCCGGGGGAGTTCCTTGCCGCTTTTCTGGACGACTTGTATCTCGTCACCACTCCAGCTCGCGCTCGGTCAGCGCTAGATGATGTCACGTGCACGGTCGAGCGGCAGGCTGGTGTCGCAGCTAATCTCGGGAAGACTCGGGTCTATCGCGCAAATGGCGGGCCCCCGCCGCCCGATATCGCAGTGCTCGGACCCGAAGTCTGGTGCGGAGGTGACAGTGAACCGGCAACTTGCGGCTTTGTTGCGTTGGGCGTGCCGATCGGGCATACGGAGTTCGTGCGACGCACTCTCGCGGCAAGACTTGAGGAAGAGCGCCGCTCGCTGCACGAACTGCCGGAATTGCCAGATATGCAGAGCGCATGGCTGCTCCTGCTCTACTGTGCCAGCCCGCGTGCCCAACATGCGCTACGCACGGTGCCGCCGCTGGACTCGGCCACCTATGCGGCAGAACACGATCGGGCGATTTGGGCACTTCTAGTGGAGCAGGATGCGAGCGGGCGGGAGTGGACCGCAGCGCGCCAAATCGCCTTCCTCCCTGCCGCATGTGGTGGCCTCGGTCTCGCGAGCGCGGAGCGACTAGCCCCAGCGGCCTAATGGGCGGCTTGGGCGGGACGCGCTCCCGGTGATGCTGCAAAGACGCCCGGAGGTCGCCCGACGATATGCGCAAGAACTCGCTCTTGGCGGCGGGTCGACTGCGCCTTGCCTGCGGGCAGCTGCGGAAGCGGGAGACCGGCTGCTCGCCGAAGGATGGAGAGCGCGCCCGGAGTGGGATGCCTTGCTCCACGGGGCGCGGCCGCCGCCTACACACGCTGAGCCTTCAGAGCCTGGAAGTTGGATAAGTTGGCCACATGGCTGGCAAAAACCGGCAGCTTGCGTACTCAACAAATCCTACCGCGAGCGCCTCCTCTGCAGCTTGTCGCCAAGTTCCCGAGCACTGCTGCGCTCCCAGGCGGGCGCGCATGCCGGCGAGTGGTTGCGAGCCATCCCCACGGACGAGGGCACGCTTGGACACGCAAGTCGCTCTCCGGCGACGCCTTCGATTGCCGCTACCCATGGCATCTTCCCGTTGCGGAGGACATGGCGAGCCAGGGTGCCGAGCCGTGGTGGACCAGCTGGGCGACCATCGCGCCGCCTGCGCCCGGGGTGGGCTGCTGGCCCGGCGCGCTCCCATACTCGAGCGAGCGTGGGTCCGAGTCGCGCGGGAAGCCATCGCCGCCGAGGGGCCAACACTGGATAGCGCGGACCACCGCAGCGGGCGTAGCCCCAGATGACCGGCGCCGACTTGACCTCGTCATTTATGGCGCGTCTCGGCGCGGCGAGGCACTCTGCTGCGATGTGACCCTGGTTTCGCTGCTGCGCGCAGACGGACGCCCGCAGACCGGCTCCTCAACGCTCGGGCAACTCGCGCACGCGCAGCGCGCGCGCGCCCGGCGTCGAGGCGGTCGTAGCTGCGTGGGGGCCTTCGTCGACAATGGCGGAGTCGCTGGACGTGTCGCACGGAGCCGTAGCCGATGGACCATGGCGGCCTGGCCGTTGCCCGCCTCGGCCTCCTGCTGTCGCGCGTCCTCCTGCACAGGCGTTCGCGGCGGGCGAGTCGGCGGGGCTCGGGCATTGTGGGACTCCGGTCTGCTCGCCATCGCTCGCGCGGCCCGCACTGCCATCAGCATGCGTACGCCCTGTTCTGCGTCGGCGACGGCGAGCGCGAGGTCCGTGTCGTCGACGGTGGGACATCGCTGCTCGGAGGTCGTCGGCCAGAGTCCGCGCGGCTGCAGCCAAGGGCGCGCCGCCATAAGCCTCAAGAAAGCCGACTGGGCTGCCGCAGACACATACCCATCCGGGGCCTGCGCGAGGCGAAGAGCCGTTGCGAGAGGGATGGGGGCGGCAGGGAGCGCGCGCAACGATGCGACAAGCGCAGCGTCCGTCGCGGGAAGGCCCAGAGGCGCCGCGCCCATCTCCTGCGCATCACATTCTGCGACGCCGTGCAGGAGCCGCGCGAGACAGCTCGGCTCCGCCGGCGGCGCTGCCTGCAGCGCACCAGCCAGCGTGTCGAACCGCCCTGCTGCGTCGTCCGGCAAAGATTGCCAATCTGCCAAGGCCGGCACGCTTAGGTTGCCAGTCGCCGCGTGCAACAGCGGCACAAAAAACAGCCAGGAATTGCGATCTCTGGCAGGGCGTCGGGCGGGCGAGCATCCTGCCATCGGGGCAGCGCGGGCTGTGCTGTCGGCGAGGGCGGCGGCGTGAAACCTGGCGTTGCCTCCTCTGCCTGCGTTGGGGCCGCTTCGCCCGGGCGGAGACATCGTTTCGGGCTCCCGGCAGGCGATGCGCAAGGTGTAAGGTAATGCTCACACGCGGAAGCTTCCAGAGCGGCCGGGCGCGAACCGCCGTCAGCCGGCCCGTCGCGCATAGCAGCGGGTACGAGCCGCATCTGTCCCAACGCGTGATGCACCCTGGCGCAGCGCTGCTCCGCAGCCGCGACACATCGCGACACTGCGGTTGGGAGGCGGCGGTGTTGCAACGGGCGTGGTGGCACTAAGCGTATCCGACAGCGTGTCTGCTTCGTCGAGCTCGTGCGGGGGCGGCGGGCGTCTTCAGACTGCACGTCCACCGATGGGAGCATTTGTCGCGGCCGACAAATCAGGCGGAGGGAGCGGCGGGAAGGGGGGAAGGCTGGTCCGCGCGCGTGCCAATGCATCAGCTGCGCGAGCCCGTTGTTGCAGCAGCTCGTCGGCCAGCGTGGAGGGCCCCGGCTGCTCTGCCTCACCGACCCTAACCCTTGCCCAAGGGCCTCGACGTCGTTGCGCTGTGGGTGCCCATCGTCGCCTCGGCCTCGGCATGACCGGGTGGGGTGTGCAGGGGATGGGTGAGGCGCGCACGTGCTGCCACGACAGAAAATGCAAACAGCAACCTGGCAGCCCGCTTCAACCCCCGGCACTTTTTCCACGGGTCGACGCCGACACTTGTGTAGCGGTGCTGTGCACGTTGCCTTCCGCGCCACGGCAGCTGTGGTCTGACGCCAGCGCCTGTGGCTGCACATAAAAAAGGCTGAATAGCCAAAAGGGACCTACCGGCGCTCACGGCCCAGTCCCAAAATGGCCCGGGCCAGCTGCTCTGCCTTGCCGTTGCCCTTGTTGGCGCCCTTGCCGTGTCCTTTGCCATTTGCATGACCGTGGCCTTTGCCTCCTGCGTCACGAGGTACTCTGCGTCCACCTCCACCTCGGCTGCCTCGCCTGCGCAGTGGCTGCGGCTCGTTGCGGCGAAGGTCAGCCCGTGGAGCTGCTGGGGGCCTGCCCGCTGCCCTCTCCCTGCCTGGCGACTCGCGGCCAGGGGGCGGCGAGTAGCTGTCCAGAGATCGGCTGCGAGAGCGGCTGCGCTCAGCTCCTGCATCACGGCCAGCGGGAAGCGGCGCGGCCGGGACGGCGGCCTCCGCTGCCGCCGCCACCTCTGCCATGTGCACCACTGCCTGCAATGCCTGGCCACATGCCCGCCAAGTAGCCGAGGACCAAGCCCGCTGCTGGACTCGGTTGTGCGCCAAGTGCAAAGCCTCGCAACCGGGGCACGTTTGCTGCCCCGCAGCGATAGGAAGACCGCAATCTTCGCAAGAGGCCATGGCTGAACGAGAGTGACCTGAGTATCACCAAGCCGCGGCAACGCGCGGGAGAGCTCTGTGTGGCGGGCACTCAACGCCTGGAGGTGATTGGCGATGAACTGCGGCGAACCGAGAGGGGTGCCCAGCAACACCAACCCGCGGGAGGAGGGTTCAAGAGCGTGGTCACCGTGCCACACCCGACTTTCTAGCAGCAGGCTCTCCAGGCCATCGGGGGCCATTCCTGCCTCATTCCAAAGGGCTGTTTTGGCGACGTTGAGACGCAGCTGCGTGTGGTGGGCGAGGAGGGATTCGAAGCGCTGAACCAGGTGCAACGCTCGCTGAGGCGATGCGAGGATGGTGACATCCTGCCTCCCTCCTACTTCGGAGCCGAGGACGAGGAGCCGCTGCGGACCGCCCGCGCTGGGCGCTGAGCTCCGGGTAGGCAGTCCGCTTGCGCCGGCCATCCGCAGCATGGCGCCGTCGTGCGCGGCAGCGCAAGGTTGGGGCTGGCCTGTGCGCGTGAGCGGCGACACCAGGGTCGCATCACAGCACAACACTCCACCCATAGGCGTTGCTCCGATCTTTGCTCGCCGAGCCAACAGCCCTGTGCGAGGGCAGGCCAATGCATGATCGCCGAACAGTCGACGGCGCCAGGCGAGCTGCGTTGCTTGCGGTGGCAGTGTGGTGGCGGGCTCTGCTGGAATGGCTGTTGATAAGGCGCCCGCGTGCGGCCTAGCTTGAGAACGCAAGAGCGCGCAGGCGCTTGGTGGCAACGTGCGTTCGCGGAAGTGTAGGTTGCGAGAGCCAGTGGGTCACCTTGCCAGTCCTCTGCGTCTGGTACAGCGAGGCAGGACCCTACCTCATGTTTGTATCATTTCATCAAGTTATATCAAGTTTGCACATGCCGTTCCTTGTGTCTGGCGTGTCTGGTGATTCTGGTGCAAAATCTTCATTTGGCTGTGTGTCTAAACCCCCGGTTGTCGCGGCCCGCGCCCGCGCCCACCTGTTACAGACCTCTGTAACGCCCGGCTTGTTACAAACCTCTGTAGCGCGCACGTTCGTATCATGTATATTATATACTGTATTATATTACATTAAATTAAATATTATTATATGGTATATATAGATTATACATATACATGCACTAAAAACGGGTCTCAGAGCGCATTGGGCGATCATGCGCGCACGTTGCTTACGCAGATGTCGCAATAGACTGTGTTTGGTCTGTCGCGGGTATGTAACGCACTTGTAAAGGGGTATGTCGCGCGCCGGGAGGCATGAACACAGATTTTCGGGAATTTCGGGTTTCAGGCTTCGGGGGAGTCTTGCCTAAAGCCTAGAGTCCACCTGTTGAGGACTGAGTGGGGTTGGCCGCGACAAGCAAGACCTAGAACCCTCACCTTGAAATTTACGAACACTTACCCCCCGATAAGCAAGACTTGGAACCACTCCACATATTCAGCCTTCAAGTGTTTAAGGGGTTTCAAATCCAGGGATACATATATTTGTTTCTTGAAACTTACGAGCACTTACCCCCCCGATAAGCAAAACTTGGACCCTGCAGACAACAACAAACAGGTCTGTCGCAAAACCCCGGCCATTGATACATACCCTCTGTAACGGGGTATGTCGCGTGTGTGGGCCGCGGCCCTGTTACAAGCAATGAATATTGGCACGCGGCCATTTCACCTTCATGCCCAAACACCCTGAAGATGGCGCGCAGCATCAGTTCATGCCAAGCCAAAGTGTGTGTGATTGCGATTGTGTAAATAAGTAAGTCCTGCATGCCCGTAGGCAGCCTCTTGGAGGAGCAGGCAACGAACGCAACTTTACATGGCGCCAAACTGCAATTGAGCATGACGTCACGTCAATATTAGAATTATTCTAAACATCGACGGCTTTTGACGAGTCACACAATCAATGAATGCACCCCGCACGATTGCGATTGTGTATATTGTGTGATTGTGTGTGTGTGTGTATGTGTGTGATTGTGTGTGTGCGTGATTGATTGTGATTGTGTATGATTTCGTATGATTGTGTATGCGCAGTGGTGGAACCTGTAAGGCCAATTTTTTGGAGGATGCCCCTTTTTCAATGCATGAGTTGACGAGGGCAATCCGAAATCTAAAGTTGAACAAGGCCTGTGATGATTGCGGATTATCAGCTGAGCTCTTGCAGAATGCGCCTCACACACTGTTGGAAGTCTTGCTTGACCTATTCAATCACGTTTTTTTTCGACTGGTGATGTGCCATCCACTTGGCGAACGACGTTGTTCCGCATGTTGGCAAAAACGCCCAAAGCAAAAACTACTGGTGATTATCGTCCTATTGCGAATCTACGCTTGCTGCACAAAATGTCTTCCTATATGATCTTGCAGAGGATTGAACCGGTATTAGATGCCGCGCAACCCGAATCGCAACTTGGTTTAAGAGCTCACCGTCGAATTGATGAGCACTTATTGACGGCAAGCAAAAGCAAAGCATCAAATATGCCCATCTGGATCCTAAGCATGGATCTGTCGAAAGCATTCGACCGAGTTGACTGGCAAAGCTTGTGGCACGCTCTACGTGCCCAAGGGGTGTCTGAACAGATCGTTTGGATTTTACAGTGCATGTATTTTTACCAGCGCGGCGAGGTCGTCACATGCAATGAACATAGCAAGCGGTTTGAAATTCGTGCGGGCGTGCGCCAAGGTTGTGTTCTCAGTCCGCGCTTTTTTTTGCAGCTTTAGAATGGGGTATGCGTGCTTGGAGATTGAACGGCCAGCCTTCCGGACTTGTTTTGCAAGAGGATCGCGACCCATTGACTGATTTAAGATTCGCTGATGACATTCTACTGTTTGCGCTTTCCCGCTTGCATTGCACCGATATGTTGCGATCCTTGGTTGATGCGCTGAGAAGCGTTGGACTTATTCTCAATGCCAATAAGATCAAATTTCTTACAACCGAAGCACAGCCGCCGGACCTGATCTGGTTGGATATTGATACTTGCATCGAAGTTGTTCGCACTTGCCACAAATGGTTGGGATGTTATCTCTCAATGTCAGGCACGCATGATGCAGATGTGGATTTCCATGTGTCGTCCGCATCCAGCGCGTTCTGGGCTAACAAATGGCTTCTTTGTGACAAGCGTGTCCCAGCAGCGTTGCGCATTAGATACTTTGAGGCAGTTGTGACTGCTGTCGCGTGATTTGGTGCAGGGCATCGAAAGATTTATCATCATCACTTACGTCAGTTTGACTGTGAATGGCGACGTTTGCTTCGCACTTTGCTTGGTCCACCGCCCGGCGTCGATTGGAGTTTGCCATGGCATGAGATATTGCACCTCTGGAATGAGCGCGTGCGTGACTTCCAAGAACGGCTGCATTTGCAAAGCTGGTCTGAAACATGCCTCAAGCATTACTGGAGATTTGCTCGTCATGTGAGCTGCGTACCATCCAGCAGATGAATCAAACGCGCTGTGGAATGGGTTCCTCCTGGGAGTCGCGTTCGCGGCCGGCCTCGAAATTCTTGGGCCTCACAGTTGGAAGCTTTCGCGCGAACTATGGGGTGGGAAAGCTGGATGGACCATGCAAAAAACGACACCAATTGGGAGAATCATTCTGCTGCTTTCCTCGCGTTTGTACAGCAATGATGTCCGAACTCATGACGTCAAGTAGTTGTAGTTTTGACCGTTTGCCTGCGCCCCAGAGGGGCTGCCTATCGGCTTGCAGGTCTCACTCACTTGTGTATGATTGTGTATGATTGTGTAATATTGCGTATGATTGTGTGATTGTGTGATTGTGTGATTGTGTGATTGTGTGTGATTGTGATATATTGTGATTGCGTGAGGTGTGAGTAAGTGTGTGAACGAGTGAATGAGTGCATGCGTGAGCGAGTGTGTGAGTGAGATATGATATTGTGTGGGCGCGATTGTGTGCGTGGGTGCTAGCGGGTGCATGCGTATGCGTGTGCGCGCGTTCCTTCCTTGTCTCTTTTCTTTTCTCTTGAAGCGCGCCGCGGGGTGCGTCAGCTGCAGCCAAAACGTGGCACATCGTGGCAGGAAGGGAGGGGCGACACACTGCGTCAGCACTGCGTCGTCGATCTGCGTAGCGGTAGCAAGGCAGCTGAGGCCAGCACATGCCAGCACACCACCGGAGCAGAAAACGGGTGCAAACAAAAAAACATCAAAAGGAAAGGAAGGGGGTGCGCAATGTGCCGAAGCTCGGCTGCGACCTGTCAGGCACCGCCCTCGCCGAGCTGCCAAATAGGGGCGCTGGCAAGGCACCGGAGGGCACAGCCAGGAGCAAAAACATGCAAAAGCGACCTTCTGGGGGCTGCGCCGGACAGGGCCGGAGCACCTAAGGGGTGAGAAGGACTGCACCACCATGTGGGAAGCCTCTGAGGCCGCGGTGACAGAAAAGGGGGCTGCGGTGGCCTCTGGCGGCCGAAAGGGAGACGGGGCCGGCGCACTGGGTGGAGAGGCGGGACCGGTTTTGCCCGCCGCGACAGGCGGCGCTGGCTACGGCCGGGCTCTAGGCGCGGACGCATGGGTGGCGATGACGGGGCTGGAACAAGATCGTCTCTGGCTGCGAAAAACGGGACACCTCATGGAACGGAGGGCTGCTGGACGTTGGCGCAGGCCTGAAGCAACTTGACCCCCGCCCCAATTCGCGCACTGCTTGCAGAGTAAAGTCCAATGTGGCCGTCCACCTCGCCACGCGAGACTGCTCTTGAGCCAAATGTTACAATGTAACATTAGCCATGTCATGGCTACGCGTTCCTCGACAATGTGTACAAACTTGCCAGCCCGACATAACGGTCGATGCGCTGCGAGTTTTGCTCAGGAAGCGCGTAGCACGCGCGCTAATAATCCAAGTGCACCTTGGCATGGAGGCTGCCCATCGCTGCGGACGAATCCCCATGTCCTGGGCAGTGCCACCGGCCCATTATCAGTCATCGTGCTTGGAAGTCCCTTGCCAAGCGTGAGTTTGTTGCTGCTGTGCTGGTGGAACGTACTTGCGCGAGGGGCGCTCAGAGCCCACCCGAAAGGCTGGCAGCGGTACGCCGCCAGTGTGTTGACCAGCGCGCTTTCGAGATGTTTTCAGTGGCCTGGATCCTGCGTCTCGCGCGCTTGGGGGGGGGATGCTGCCAGCTGTGCCCTGACCTCATTCCCCACCATGCAGTGCGCGGACCTGGTCGCGCCAGACGCAAAGTACTGCGTCTTGCTGCTCCGACGCGTGCGCTTGCCGCTCCCCTTGGCGCCCAAGCATTGCCGCTGTGGCAGCGCGCGTGGCCACCAGCGTCGCCCTCCGCGATCTCAACATCGATGTCCCCGCCACGGACGGCCGGTAGCCAACGGCTTGCCGTTGTGGCGGGTTCCGCTTTGAACATTTTTTGTACTCAGTTCGTTTGAGCTTCCATCGCCCAACATCACGCGCAGTTTGGGAGGCATTGGGCCGCAAACTTTGTCAGCCGATCATCCCATTTCTTCGTACGGGGCCGCCCCACAACTCTAGTGGGTCGTGTTGCAGTATTTGCTAAGCACCGAATTTTGAGATCCCATTTGCAAACCAAATTCGGCCATTGACGTGTCGTCACGGTTGCCACAAAGCTGTATACTGCCCTCAGATCACCCGTTGATTCATGCGCACCATGGTGTCAGAGTATACCATCACATGTGCACCACGCACGATGTTCTTGGACTTGGAGATGCTGGGAAGCAAGCAGAACTCCAGCTGCTGTTGATTCGCAAAAGGCACTGTTCTTATTCGGGAAGATTCCAAACCTCGGTTTTTCGAGCAGATCTTCTGTTCCAGCGTTGCGTTTTGCCAACCTCGCGTGATCTCGCGCGGCGCACCTGCATGGCTGGCCTCGTTCGCATGCATCAAGGCAGTGCGATTGTGTTGGTCTTTGAGGCTTCACGTCGGCATGGCCTTCCTGTGGGCCGCAATGTTTGACCCGCATCGGCATCTGCTTGATGCGGCAATGGCGCTGAACGCTCGTTGGCAAATTTTCCGCGGCGCATCATGGCCTGGTCAGATGCTTGCTTAATGCCTATACGCCGAAACTTCTATCTGCGGCTGTGATGCGGCGCCGCACTCTGCACGAGGCTTCCCGATACAGTCGCAGCTCGGGATTCGGCCAGATGCATGCTGTGACCGGAAGGCATGAATCAGCAACCCGGATTCCCTCTCCCAGAGTGGGTAGGGTGGCCTTTCTAAGTCGGTGTTTTGCTGGTTCTGCTAGTGTGTGTGCACAAAACAACCCGAGTCTGGCGATGCCGGCCTGGACAAGCAACGTCGAACCCTGGGGTGAGGTAATGTGAGGGGATAGATGCTCAAACTTCATTGGCGCCGACCTTTGAACCCTTGGCCCTTGACCCTCTAAACCCAAACCGTATGGACCAGGAAATGCTGGAGCATCACGCCCCGCTGAAGAGTTGGAGAACAGCTTTGACACAAAAAGTCTGGCTCCCTTTTGTCAAGACATACAGTAATGGTCGAGCACAGTAAGTTCAGTCAGTAAAAATGGTATAGTAGTGCTGTAGACTTTAGTCTGGTATCGTATTGCATAGGACACCTTGTAAGGCATATACTAAACTGTATGAGATTGTATGAGGGTATACTATGGTCGCCTGTAGCTGGCCGGTGTGATGAAGAGTACAAGGTCCCAAAAACTAGGCTTTACTTGCACATGTTAAATGTCCACAACTGTATGTCCTCAAATAAACACTTGCCAACGCGACACCCTAAACCAAGCTCCCCACTACGTGTGGAACATTAATGGTTCTTCCAGCTCTTCCCTGAATTGACTCTGCACACGGATCCAAGATGACTCCGCAGAACCGTACTTGGCCAGATCTGGTGGCAACACGGCAACACATGGTCCTTAGAGAAGAGATTTGAATCTCAACTACTTCCTTTCAGATTTTGCTGATCCAACGGCAGTACATGTCTTGAGTGACCTTTTTGGAGGGTTGCAATTGCACGTCGCTGCCCCTCACTGAGAATGGCTCGGACCTGTGCCAAGGGAAGCGCATCTACCTAGCACCCACTGCACCCACCCTACAGTGTGGCGTCCTCACTGGCAACGAGCTAAACATGGCTTGGACCAATGGCCGAATGAGGTTGTTAGAAGGATTATTTGGATACCTAGGATGCAAGGGGTTCCGTGCTTTGCCTCACTCGGTCACTAATTCTGCTGCAGTCTTCTTCGTCGTCGATGCTTCCATTCCGACAACTTTCTAGCTACGAGTATATTTCGTCTCATGCGACGGAGTCGAAGTTGATTGCACATCAATGTCTAAAGAGGCCTGGACGGCCTGAACATGTGTTTACGAGGCGCAGGCATGGCGGCTCAGTGCTGTCCGGTGCACGGTCGGGCTCCTGCCATTTCTGCAAGCCGCTCTCTTGTCCAAATGAGGAGGATTTTGATAATCGCTCAAGTGCAATCCTTTGAGCGCCTGTGTGTGTGTCTTCGGGCTACCAGGAACCTCTCATCACACAGAGTCCTCCATTTTCACCGGTGTAGGTGTAGGTGTAGGTGCAGGCTTCTCAGCCGGGATCTCAGAGATATCACTAGTTAGGAGTGACTTCAACATTGTTGGCAAGCTTAAGCAAGTGATCATCTCTAAATCATGACCTTTTGGGAGGTTCATAATATGGAGCCGTAAGGGTGTTAGGTTGGGGACCCAACAAACGACCATGATCTGGAGAACTTTGCATTATTGAGGGCACGACCGCTTCTGCCCTCGCCAAACTGGCCTGTCTTTGCCACAGCTGACCAAACAGGACAAAGGACTTCAGCTGAGAAAGCGTAAAATCCCAAGACCTCTTCTCCAGCAGTGGCTTCTGCACCTTCCTGCCCAGTGTAAACACGTATTCGAGCACGAGTACCATCGCATCAAGTTCAATCGTGACTTTGGATCCTCTGCTTTGACCGGCTTGGGCTCTTCCTCGCCCTTGTCTTCCTTGTCTTCCTCGCGCCCACTCTCAAGACTGACAGCACACAACTAGCAACAACTAGCACCACGGTACAGCGTCACGGCATGCACCTCAACGGCATCGGCCCTAAATTCCGTCACTCAAGTCACTTGAAGCCACTCTCGGCTCCGGCTCCGCTTTGACTCGCTTGACCCTCTCTGTCTCCTTCCGTAAGATTGGACTGTCGGACGCTGTCGGCAACTCGTATGACGTGCATATGTTGGAGTCATGTTTGGCGCGTTCAATCACAAGATTTTACAACTGTCTGTGCTATTGGCGTACCTCTGCGTCAAAATCCGCAGTGTCCAGCACGCTCTTGGCATTTGGACCTTCTCCGAGCCTGCACGGAACCAAATCCTAGAACGCTCCCGGACCCTGCACAGACTGAGTTGATGAAAGCAGCGAAGGCTTAGCGACCACTCAGCGAAGATTGCGAGTTACACTCTAGTTACCAAGGCCAGGACGACAAGCCGATCATTGGTGTGCTGTCGGCATCCTTGTCCTCGAGTTCCTTCGGACCCCGTTAGCGGGCAACGTCAAACAGTACAAAAGCACTGCAACCTGACTGCAACACAGTGTGTGTGTGTGTGTGTGCGTGCCAAGACCTACAGCGCGGATGCTCTGTTTGCGGCTCCTTCTCGGTGGGCTCAGGCTCGGGTGGTGGAGCCAAAGCCAAGGTCCCATTGAGAATGGCCAGAAGCTGGCAAGGAGCCGTGCAGCAACCATGTCCATGAATGAATCTGAGCAACTGCTCAGGTGTCGGGAATGCGAACATGGCCCCACGAGACCCCCAAGCCTCAGCAGTTGGCGGAGGCGCTGGTAGCTCGGCAAAGATGCCCGCCTGACGAAGCTGGTTGTTGCCACCAAATCAGTCGCGCAATGCAGCGCAATGCAGTTGCGAATCGACTGCGCAAGCGCGGCTCCAAGACTTCTTCGGGGAGTGCAAGTGGATCAAGCCATCATGGAACTCCGATGGCTCTTGAAATTCCGCAGTTGCTTCGTCTGAAAATCAGTGTGGTAGTGAGGGTCATGCGATGAGCTGGCATTTATCATCATTCTCATGCGCGTCTTCTCCAGTGGAAGAGCACTAGTGGTGTGCCTTCGCCCGTATGCCCACGCTAAGAAAGTTTGCAGTGTAAACATGTGCAAATTCAGATCGCGATCTGGACCTCAAGAGCTATCCCAAACACGCGATTGAGAGAAGAAAGGCGTGCGAACGGAATATTTTTGAGCAAGCTCCCAGGACCGCGGAGCTCTCCAAAACACGCGCTTGAGATGAAAAGACGTGCGAACCCGTGCTCATACGGACCGTGATCGGCGACCGCAATCTATGACTCAAGATCCCCGCGTAACCACACATTCAGGCTAGCAGAAAATGGCCGTAGCCCTTATGTATACCCTAAAAGGTCGTATTGAACCATTCAATACCCTCCCCCTAATAAAATGAAAACGCAGTATCGACCCCGTTGTACAGCCAACCTTCTCTTTGTTTTACACTCAGAGAACTATCACGCACATGGTACAGCAGCTAAGCCCGTTAATTTGTGACCACCACGTTGATACGTTGTCATTTGTAGCATGCCTGTGAACATTCATGTGAACGTGCTGTTGAGGCTGGCTGTGTGAGTAGAAAGTTCATGAACGACAGGAATCCCAAGCCAAGTCTATGAAATCATGAATTATTGAAGATGCCCATCTTATCTTTCAAGATGCACACCGATCTTGCAGCCTGCAGAACGTCTTCAGTCTTCCCGGCCGGTGGCGCCGGACCGACTGCTGCAGCATCACTCGCGCCCAACTGGCAAGGAGGACTCATCCACTGCAAGGTCATGCGATTAATATTCCGTGGATACCTGATGGGTATCCATGCACAGCAGCACAACAGCTAATTTGCCAGTTTCACGCCGACGCGCTTGGGCAGCAACTCGCTGAAGGATGTGTCGCCAGGTCGCGCACGCGACCAGAAACGCGTGGAGTAGTCCTGGCAACATTGGGCAACCACTTCCCCCGCCAGACCTAACAGACGTGCAGCAAACATCCTGAAAGATGATTCCGAACCGCTGAAAATATTGGTGTCTGTTCGCTGCATCTCACATCTGCCCTGTGCTGGCCCGTCTGTGAAACGTCGGCTGCATGCACTTTGTCATGCTCGGGCATGTGCCACTTCCTGGCCTCTCTAAGCCCGCACAGCTGTGTCCCAACAGTGTCCCAACAAAACACCCTGTCTTCCCACGTGCGCAGAGTCGCAGAGTTCCCGCTACTACAAAAAGCAGGCATTGCTGCTGGCATTTGGCATTTGCAAGCTAGCCGGCCAGCCAAACCAGGCCCTGCCAAAGATTTTCGTCCAAGAGAAGCAGGGCACCTGTGAAGGCTTTGTTAAAGAAACCCTTTGGATACAAGCGCACGTATTCTGCAAACGGCGCTTGGCAAACTTCGGGGATGGCTGGCACATGCTGGCACCTTTAAGGATGACATGCTTCGACTCGAGAAGTTTCGAAGGTGAACATGCGTCAGAAAGGTTTTTTACCATGTCAGACGCAGACTGTCCATGTCCGTCAGCCCAGCGGCGCGCTACCGTGCAAAGCGTGCAGCGGCTTGTTGCGAAAACAAAACAATGTTGTTGTACAGATTTCGAGGTAGCGGTCGTCGAAATTGACCGCGACATTCCCGTCGAAGGCGGCGTGCTGAGAATTCGCTGACGCAGTATGACCAGTGTGGTCTGTTTCCGAGTCGTGCGTCGTCAACGCGGTAAACTCAAACCACAGGGCTACAGATTAACCACCAACAATATCTGACGTCCCAAGCCGAGACCTGCTAACATCGCCACCGCGGCAAGTCTCTGGCAAGAACTGGGTGCAGGTAGGTTCTCAAATCTTTTTCGCCGGGTCGCTTCAGGTCGAAATTGCGTACACAATGGGGGTTCCCAAGCCCGAATCGCGTGTCATTGTAAACCAGGGCCCAGACCGACTGATACCCAGCCGGCCCTGCATGCTCATGAAGGGGGACCATGGCGAGCAGTTTCCCGAACGCGTGACACGCAGCTGGGCTTGCGCGCCCATGACGCTCAGCATGCCCAGCCAACCCTCTGCATCAGATGAGATGGCGACCACGCGCCCAGACCGCGTGACACATCGCGACGACGGCCTGGCCCCTGCGTGAGGTGAACCAACACGGCATCTCAATTGCTGGGCCACAGCCCTTGGCGTCTACGAGCCTTCTGAGCACTGGCCGCAATGTTGAGGATGTGCATCTTTTCGGGACATTGATATTGATGGCCATCGGGTTAACAACCATCACGTTATCAGGCTGCTACAGGCTGCTCTTATGTCTTGGCTGCACCCAGCTGGCTGTCAGTTCTTGTGGGGCAAGGAACTTGCTATGTCTGCTCAACCTCTTGTGCGGAGAAAGCTCGGCGCTGAGCAAACTCTTCTACGAGGAGTGCCGCTCGCAAGCCATCCCAGTGTTGCGGCTCCTTTCTTTTGGCCATCCGGCTCTGCACCGCGGAGGTTTACGAGTACTGCTCTCCCTGCATCTCTGACACGCTCACGCTGGAGATCATGAGGCAGCAGCATCCGTACACATCCGTACTCGCTCGTGTCCATGATTGCAAGTGCAGTCTAAAGCATCGTACATGGGACTCAGATCGATGCCAGAAAGGCCATTCGCCGTGCTTAGCATGCGAAGCTTCGCCTGCTCAATCTCGCACGCAGCGGTTTTAAGTTGCGATTGGATCGAGGAAGTGCTCGTGTCATAATGAACAATAGAACAACTTCAACAAGTGAGCTGTAATGCTTCGAAAACAACCAACACACATCAAGAGAACTCTGGGGGTGCCGAAACAGCGGCTTCAGCTTAGACACCTGTGTGTGAGGTGTCCGCCAACTCTCGCAGTGTCACGCGGCTTGGCCCGGACAAGGCATCACCCAACCACCTGGCACAGGCGCCGCAATGTCGGGTCCATTGGTGCAAGACATGGTCTTTACACGTAAAATATGGAGGCTAGGCAGAACTACAAAGAGCTACGCCAGCACCGCGCTTAAGGCACCGGAAGGCCAACGCTGGCGCAAGTTGCAAGCTGAGACTAACATCGTTCAACAACTGCGAACCGTAGTCGATGCCAACACTGGCGAGTTCGATGTTTCGAACCGATGCGCCACAAAGCCGCTGAAAAATCCTGGGCATGAGGATTGCTTGCTCTTGGCATCTGCCCTGAAGACAGGAAACATCCTGAAGTGCCCGCTCGAGACCTAAAGAACCCGGAAAATTTTCTGAGCAAACCTTCGGCCAGCACTTGCCTGACGCACGCGGGCGTCACCATTGTGTCTTTCTCGCCAAAGAAGACAGTTACCATCTGCTCCGAGGACAAGGCTGGGCTGAGCCCAATATCCTCTGCAGGGTGTGTGCAAGCTGTGTCGTACATCTGTTTTGAACTGCATTGAGCAGTTAAAGTCCTTGTATGAGGCCAGTAGCACCGGCAAGTCCAGCGCATCACCCGAACCACTCTCACTCGTTGCAACGCCTGAGGCTGAGGTTCCAAACAAATCACGAGCAGCTCTTCCTCGTGTTCCCGAAACCATCATCTTACAGTTGGGCTTGCATCTGCAGCGTGGTCTTTAGATGTCTTTAACTCTTGACATCTGTATCCTACAACACTTAAGCGATACACGCATTGAGCTCGAAGACTTGAAGAAATCCCAAGGTGTTAGAAATGCGAAATCTGTCATGTGCAAAGACTGGGTGCATGTCCTGGGATCTAGTGAACTCGGTTCAGATGACAGAGACAAGGAGCTGAAGCGCCACGCGAATGTTTCAGCTTTGCTGTCAAAGATTTCAGCTTCCTTGCGCCAAAAGTCAAAGCAATGTCATCTATGGCGATGTGAATGTTCTCACTTGGGAGCAGGGCTCAAGCTAGGGCCCCGCGGGTGGCCCGCGGCCCGTGTTTTTCGGCAGGCCGAAGCAAAGGATTCGGCTTTTGGGGGATGTGCAAGCCGTAGACTCAGATAGCCTGGGAAAGGGGGGGGGGGGGGCTTAAGTCGAGCAATTGAGCTTGCGCGAGTTGCGTTTGCCAGTCGCTCGCAACATACACAACTATGTTCCTCTCATTAAGCCGTTGACGTTTGTTTCGTATGTTTTCATGCTAGCAGACTCTGCGAAAGCGTGAAACATTGGAAATAGCGGACTTGTCACTTTGCGTGTATGACTTTGCGATGGCTCTACATTCTACCAGGGCACACAAGAGGAGCCTTCATTGAGAGAATTGACCGTCTTCTTTACAACGACCACTCCATTGCCAGTGTTGCCGCCTAAAAGGCATCCTGCTCGGTTTCCTCTGCTTGGAGTGTCGCTGAAACATGCACGATCACAGGTACAAGTTGCAACTTCACGGGGAAGTAGATAATGCTGAAACATGCTGAAACTGAGACCTCTGCCTTTGGCCTTTGAGCCGCTCAATGCTACCTGATCTACTTTGTTCAATTGTAAAGAAAACGGAGACATAAGTATTCTAGGGTTCTGTGACCAGTTACTGTTGTATATCAAGCTCTCAAAGCCCGACTGAGCAGGACTTGCAGGAATTGGCAGGACATACAGGAGTCCTTGCTCTCGAGGCCGGCGCGTGCCAGCGAAGCTGTTGGCAAAGACTTGCTGAAGTAGCTACCAGCTGCCATCCAGGGACCTGTCGGAAGATGATGGCGACATCTGAGATCTGGTGTCGTTTAGGTCAAAGATCTAAACATGGTATAGCATACATTAGCATACCAGTCACCCATGTCGTGCACCTCCCACGCAGGTCACCAGACTGGTGGGCAGCGAGGAAACCAATTGGAAGAATCGCTTGGTCTCCTTCCAAAAGCGCATAGTAGAAGACATCCCCATTTAATAGTTTGGACACTGCAACATTCCTCCTTCAAGCTGCAGTGTCGACCAAAGCATCACAAAGCATTCTCAAATGGTCCGTGGAAGTCTCCTGGCAGTCGGCAGGAGGCACCCAAGGAGCCACACCGAGCATGCGTCCAGAACACAGCTCCGGATACCTCGGAAGTTTTCCGCCGCAGAATCAGGACCCATCCGCCCCTTAACCCAATGCCCCAAAAACCCTCTAACCCATCAAGCCATTCGCTTTGGCTTTATGAACGGGCTCGCCCGTCAACCCATTGGCCTTGTGACAATGTTAGCCAATTATCCCCTTAACCCATTTTATGCCCTATGAATGCGTTATTGGTTTAATGGGATAACGGTTTAAGTTTGGAGGCCTAACAACCCTTTCGCAGGGCCAAGAGGATTGGGTGAAAAACCCTGAATGAGTTAATGGGTTCAGGGCCTAACCCTTTCGTGAGGCTAGAACGGCTGAGTTGATGAATTCATGGGGTCATGTGTTGACGGTTCATCGGTGAGTGGAAAAATGGAAACGGCGTGTGCTTGTAGACACAACACTGTTTATAAACACCGCCCCGATACAAGCAGCAATTAAGTCCCGTCAAACCATTCATACGGCCAAAACATTGGGTAAACGCGTTGACAGGTTGAGGGCCTAACCCATTCGCAAGGCTCAAATGGTTGAGTTGATGTGTTAATGGGTTGACACAGCAAACCGTGAGAGCTACAATCATACACCGGGGAAGTACCGGAATACCCGTTTAGAAGGGGTCCTCTGTTTCGTCCATATTCTCAATACTGGAAGCAACTTCTACTTCCTGTAAGCATGTTTTCCCTAGTGAAAACCTTTGAGCAACTATTTTCCTGCAAACCTCTATCCTGTGACTGAAATGTTCTGAAAACAAAATGTGATGGCATGATCTTTGCACAATCTTGCATGCCTGAAAAGAGGCAAGAGGTTGGTCCCCATTCTTGACGATGCTCTCATGATGCGTTTGGAGGGGTTCGCGCGAAGGAATGTCTAATAATGATGGAATGATTTTCGAAGCACGGCCCGCGCAGCTTAAATCGCAACCGCCGTACTTCATTGCAAGCACAATCCTCGTATGCCGGGATTAGGAAAATCGCATGGATTTGAAGGATGCCCATTGAGGGCATCAGCGTCTATTGCAGCCAGTTTGTGCGGCTTAGAAGAGTGGGGTTTGTTTGCCACAAATGATCATGGGACTCATGTCTTGCTCCAATTCTGACAGCGCTTCCGGCAAACAGCTTACGCCATTTGCGCATTGTCTCACAACCGGAAACAGGACTTCCAGTCGGCTCTATCAATGCCATGTAATCACATGACATGACAATCCAAACGTCTCGCGCAGGTCGTCTCGCAACACTCACCAATGAATAAGTGCAAAAGGTGCAAATGGTTTCCATCGCATACAAATGCAACTGCACGCTCAGCATGTGACCATTTCCACACTCAAGCTGCGCAAGCAGACCCAGCAGACCAAAGAAACAAACGTACAACAAACACAAAGAAGTACAAAAAAAATATCCAAAAATAGGCTGTCAATGCAACATTGCCAACATCTGCCAACTGCAGCACCAGAGACTTTGAAGCGAACCGCAGCGCAAATGGAGTGCCGGCGCAGAAGAAGAGGATGGACGCCTTCGGAATTTGAAGCCTCGGTCGAGCTGCGCACAGTGCGCAATCTGCAACGCAATGCATTGCAGCATATTGGAAAGCGTTGCAGCGGATGTTGCTGCGCACAAAAGCTACAGTTGGTCTGACGAATTGCTCTCACCATGTATTGAGGGTCTCGCATCTACAGGTCCATCAGGCCACCAGGCAAGCGTGGCAGAACGCCGAAGAAAGTCTGAAGATTCTGAAGGCTTTTGGGTTTGTGCCGGTGCCGGCGGAACACTCACTGGAACCCTGCCTCGAAGCAGAACCCGTAGCAAAGCATCACGCATAACGCAGGCACAACAAGTAACTTAACAAGTGTAAAGATCCAACATGCGAAGTGTGTGTACAAGAGAAGCTTTCAGGGCCGCACTTTGCGATCAGCGCCCGGACATCGTCAACCGCTGTCTCGAGCTGCCATGAGGGCACGGAAACACCTGGCGGAGGCATCGGAGGCCATCCACAGGGCCGAAAATCTGGCACAGAGTGATATCGATACTGGGTACGGTACTGTGATAGTGGCGGATAATGACGAATAATTGACGGATAATTAGTTGCAGTGCCGGTGTGCACTGGGCACAGAAGTCACAGAGCGGTGGCAAAGAGAGAAAACGGCTCAAAGAGTTTGCTTGCTCTACAGTTTAAACATGTTTAAACCTGGGCACGCCTAGTGACCTAGTGAGTTCAACGCCGAACGCGACCAGTCGCGGGCTCTCTAGCGCAAGCTCCCGTGATGCTCTCGCGTGTATCAGATCATCGATTCTGCTCGCTATCATTGGAACTCATGACTATTGACTATATCGTGACGAAGCCAACCCCGCCAGACACTATTGGAAGAGTGAACGTTCAGCGTTCAGAACTCAGAAGCCTTCCGGCGGATCCAGTGGTGGGCTCGTACCCCCATTGCCTGGTCGGTTTGCGCAGACGAGGCGCAAATTCCTCGGTTTGAGCCATGGGCATGCTTGATATCCCTCTTCATATCGTGTTTGATCATGCCTGATCATGCTTGTCTGCTTCCCGGTGTCGCTTCCTTGGCTGCCTCCTGTGCTTACAGCAGTCTTGCTTGGCTGATATTGAACTGGTTGACACATTGACACCTCACAGCCTCCGCAATCTTTGCGTTGACTCCTCGGCAAGCACCAGTGCCTGTCGAGAGCTGCCCAGCGGGTAGAACACCAGGGCCGGATGTCCATCCTCCTGCTCAAAGTTGCAACATCATGCTCTCACTTCAAAGACACTCTGCAAGTGCGTGGTGCCGACACGACCATGCCGCACCGACAGAGGGGACGCGCGACGTGAAAGGGAATATGTGAAATAGCAGGAGTGGGTCGTGCGTGCTCTCGCGCGCTCTCCTTCCCGAGTGTGCCGTAGGCCACGTCACGGCCACCTTCACGTCTGAAGTGGCCTTCATTGATGGCTGCTGCCGCCATGGCACAGTGTCTGGGAAATCCTTACCTATGCTTCTCACATACCTCTGCTATGCAACCTACATTGCGACTGACGAGGTGACTAATCTCATGAACTGCACAGCCCGTAAAAAGACAGACTGCGTTATCTGTGTTCTGCAGCTCGGCTAACATTGTCCGGGTCAACTCTGCGTCCGAGAATTATGAAACTAGATCTGTGATGAGCGAACGGCTCAAGAGCGTCCAAAGAGCAGAAATGTAGTTTCTGGATGTTCTGGCAAGAGTTCATATTTTAGCTCACTCGAGAACAAGCCAGGCGAACGTTCGAAGCGCTGACAAGTAGGTGGCCCATAGGGTGCCTCGACCGAGTTCAGGCCAAAGTGTTCTACTATGCCGCTAGGCCCTCTTGGGGGTAAGGGTCACAGTATTCCTTGATGGAGCACAGCACCGGATACCATGCTCAGCTCGCAGCCATGCCAGGGACCAAACAGGACCTACAAGCAGCAAGTGAATATGAGATCAGTGAGCTCATGTGAGCTCTCGCCCTCAATGTCTGGCAGCCAACTGACACATGGCAGCTGCGCACCTTCATGTGCTAAGGGCAAGCTTTCTACCGGTGATGAGGAGCCATGGATGCCCCAGAAGTGGATGGCGCCATCATAGCCTCCGGACCTCTGCACATGCTGCTGAATGTGTTTTACTTCAAACAACTCATTACATTGACTACAGTAGCAGCGTGTGCACCTCCACCGCAAGACGAAGATGTGGAAGAGATGCTTTCTGTGAAGTCGGACAAGAGGCCAGTTTGCCGACCATTGTTTTCATCATGGAAGGATAGGATATCGGAAGCCCTAGGAATCCTGACCGTGATGGAAAAGCTGACCAATTAGGCTGGACTTGGGTCTGTTCTTTTCCCGTTTGAATATGTATCGGATGGCGCGCCCTTGAATCAATCGCCACGCACTCCCATCTAAAGAGGAACAAGACGGGTCAGCTGCTTCGTTCACTTTGCCAGGACGGATAAGACTTGACTGCTTTGCATCCCTTGACCTGAACCACGACCAACAAACTCTTCTCATTTCTCGTGACTTGCAGAAGTCTGCCTCAAGATGTAATAAAATCGTAATGAGCGCTTGTGTGGCTCGACAAGGCCTCATTCTCTAAGTTTTCACAGCATGCGCCCAACTCATTCAGGCGAGAAATGGCGAGAAGCTCCTGTTGTACAGGACCCCGAAATGTGTCATTTGTGGCTGTTCTTCTTCCGGCCGGGGAACTTTGTCGACTTGTCTATGTAGCTGCGTACTGAAGAGGATGGAACATGGTGGAGCATTCGTTCTTGCGTGTGCTTTCTTGGCACACGCTCTGAGGAGTCTCTAGGGCTTCTTAGGTTGAGGGTTGAGGGTTGAAACTCCCTGCGACCTTATCAACTCTTACTTGAGATCGGGGCCACGAAACTCTTATTCTGAACAGATGGCGCAGAAGCTCTGCATCTAGAGCTTTGGATTTGGGGTAGCCAGCCGCATCAATTGAACAGCTGTCGGCACATGCCAGCATGCACTCCTCAGCATCGTTCGGCAAAACAAAATGTGATGCTTGTGGTGCTGTCCAAAGTATCCAAGGTGATAAGCTTCTTTCAGGGGGTACGGGGGGGGGGGGGGGGGGGGGGGGGCAGGTGGGCGCAACACATCACCAACATCAACTTTGTGGCAAGGGAGTGTGCAGGTGCAGCAAAAACACAGGGCGAATTACCGCCGCGGCCTGCATTTACAATAAATTACAATAACAATCTTAAGCAGCTCAGATGCGACCACTGGATCCAGCTACTGCGCAGCACATCGTCTCTCCCGTGGCTTCGACGGCGTGTTGCGAATTTTAGCCCCGGGCGCCAGTAAGGAGTCCGACTCTGGATGCCAGCAAAGGGAGGTCACCTGCACAGTGCTGGTGAGTCGTCAATGGGTAAGATGCTGCGGCAGCAACGACAGGAGGTCGTCCAGGCCTCCTTTTGATGAGCTTTGAAAACCTTCCGCACACTCATCGTGCGTACGTCCTGCGCCCACTTCTGCGCACTCTGCATTATGCCGTTCTGCAGTTACAAACAGTTGGAGCTTGACAAGGCCCTGGCCATAAGCATGACCAGCTGATCTCTCGAGGCACTTGCTAGCCACTGGCCATGCGGACTCCAGGCCTCCACATGAAGAGTTCAAGCACGATGACATGGTGCTGCGATCGAGCTCATGGCGATGCAGCATATCTCGGTATGCATTAGTGCTAGTGTCAGGTGTCGTGAACGCGATCAACTACCAGCAATAACACTTCATGGTAGGCGCAAGCGCGAGATGCGAGGAAAGCGAAAATGTCGAAAAGCCAAGGGCCAGGCTACACGAGTGACTGTGTTCTTGTGGCAGAAGATGGTAGTAATCGCTTCGGATGCTCGGGGGTCCCAGAGCTTGATCTGGGAATCCTGGAATGTCAACTCTACGTGCAACTTTTGCATCCAATTGCCGCACTTTGCCTTGGAACCGGTTGCGACCAAACCTTTTGTCGGATGCCATGCGCAGCACCTCGGAAGCTGCGAGCAGCAGAACTCCATACAATTTATTGCAAGCGAGCAGTAAACTCTACATGGCTCGCAACGTTTTCAGTCGCAGACTTGACATCCCAGCCATGCCCAGTGAATGCGCGCTCCTGCCGAGCCAGCGCGGCACTGACAAAGTTGTTCGGACGGCGGATTTCCGATGTGGGGTCCCCGTATCAAGGACCCCAAATACTCCCAACGTCCGAAACACATCATCAAAGTAATCAACCCGCGCACTGTTGAGGTGCAGGTGGCCTTCCGCGTCCTCCAAGGATCCCAAATTGCCAAACCCCCGAATTGAACCTAGAATCTTCCCAAACCGCAAGCATGCAGCCTGCACGCGTGGACTTTTTGCTCATGTGGGCCTAGGGTTCCGGAAGCCTCTTTGATGTTTCCTCTTGGCCAGTGTTGACTCTGCTCAACTGAAGAGGCAGCTTGCAAAGAGTTGGATCCCTGCCAGGGGTACCAAGTACCAAACTTTGCTAACCGACGCAAGCAAGGGACGCTGCATTGTCGGTGACATTGAAAGTTGGATGTGCGGTGGATGTCTGCTGCAGGCAGTGGTGTGTGTATAGAGGGTGCGCGACCGGCTGTGAAGCCTCTGGTAAACGACACTCGAAGCACTTGAGGCGCATCCTGGACTCTGCTAGACAAGTCAAAGCCGCCCGCTGTCACAGCCATAATCTTCGCCAATAAGACACGAAGCCAAACAGTACACGGCAGTGATCGTGTACGCCTACCTCGTCTCCGGTCTTCAAGTCCCAAACCTCCCAAAAGCATCAGCTTGCAGAGGTGGTGTTAAGGACTGGTCCGCACAAACTTCGCTCAACGGCCACCTTGGCATGTGAATCATCGGCGCACGAGCAGAATTTTTCCCCTGTCGGTGCCACCTGGGACCGAAAAAATCGGAGCGGAGCGAAGGGGCAGTGCAGGTTTAGTGCCAAGATTTTGTCAAGACAGGCGAATTCGGGTGGCTATGGCTTACCTCTGACTGGGATCAATGAGCAATGCATTTTGTAGCTGCTTCAGGATTCTGGACTGCTGCCTGAGGCCTCCACGGCTATGTCACAGACAGAGTCCTTGTGGCCCTGGAAGGTCTGGAAATTGTAGATGAAAGGATCCTCGGAGTAACGATGAGTCACGGATGTCGACAACGACCATGTCTTGGGGGAGGCACGGCAGATATGGAACGAGGACATCATGGTTTGGAGAGTAGAAAAGCCACAAAAAAGAAAAACAACCACCAAAACTGAGACTCTATTCAAGACCGTTGCAGATCTGCGGGGCGTGAAACTTCTGGGTATCCAGCATTCGAATGAAAAAGCTTAGGACTTAAGACTCGTCTCGGGCATTCAATTCCCTAGAGTCTGACGCTTCCTCTAGCCGCCTCAGTTTGGCTAAGCCCTCTTTCCCCACATGTGGTGTGGCCCGCTTCCTGACGACCACCTTCCGCCATTTTCGACTGGAATTGCAACTAAATTGCAACACAGTTTTTCCCCTTACATCTGTATAGGGTCGCGGCCCAAAGCTTGATCATTCCAAGCTGATCTCCGCTCACCATAACCGCCTGACGACGTGAGCTGCACAAGAGCGAGCTAAGGAACAATGTGTTCTTCGGTGCCTTGGCGAACCCAAGTTTTCAGGGGTAAGCGTTCAAATGTGTGCCACTCGTTTTCGGAGGGAAAACTAGGGCTTGCCACCCATCACATCGGGCTGTCAACACCTGTCACTCTGTCGGGCTTTCACTTGCACACGTCGCTGCTTCTGGCAGGGTTAGGCCGGATAGGACTGAGGGTTTGGGGACTCTTGGGAATGTCGAAGGTCTCTGCAAATACTTCGCTCATCCCGGCCCCTGCCCCCCTGACCAATCAACAAATACAAGGGCCAGACACATGTCTGTCAGCACATGCGATCTGCCCTCCATTGCGCAAGTATATCCCTGTCTGTGTCGGACACTGTGCCGCAACTTGCCACATCACCACATCACGCCACAGGATAAATCGCTTATGGCTCCTCATCCGGGGTCCAGCACATTGCTTTGATTCCGGCCTTGCAAGGCTGGATCTGGCTGGATTTCGTACTTCAGTGATGCTAAATAGTTATGTAATTAAGTAATTGCCACATGTTGCTATTGGCACTGTATCACGTGAGGCTGCAGACCGGGGTGCTTCATCCAATTGCAACTGCCGGCTCTGTGGTGGCGGACGTTGTGTGCTTGCATCACGTTCTCGGAATGAAATGCCAAACCTGGACCAACGTTCAACACAAGCCAGTGCGGGCAGCCCTTGCAGGACCCTTTTTCTTGACAGCGTGGAAATGCAGAGACTATGCTTGATGTTGCAGCTGCGGAGCCATTCCAAATAGTCATTTCACCCGCAAGCGTACCGGTGAGAATCCGCCGGCCTTGGTTCAAAGTTGCCAATCATGCATAAAGCATGCAACAGCCCTGATTTTAACGGCAGAAACTCTCAGACTTGTGGAACTCGACTTTGTCAACTATTACAGCAACGTGTGTTATTGCTCTTCCATTTCGTATGGCAGACATTCTGACGTCGATTCGAGCACTTCTTCGCAGTAGTAGTGCTTGGAGATGCTATAAGAAAGGATGACAAAGGCATTGCTTCACGTGCGGACAGCATCTGGCAAATTTCGCGCTACAGCCCCGTACCGTTGGGAAACCATGTGGCCACGTAGACAGGTGACCTTGAAGCAATTGCTCGCAAAATGCCAACATTCCTGCCCGTTCACTGCATGTTCACCATCAGCACCCTGTTAGCATGAGCACCTGTTTTTGTTCACAGCTGCGTAGACGAAGCGAGGGCAGATGCTGTCGTAGGGGTTGCGGGACCTGGCTGCTTGTCATTCAGTGGTTGAATTCCCTGTAGACATCAAAAGCTGGATCCCGACGTCTGTTGCGTACTCGAATCTGCTTTATCATGATCAAATTGGATACAAACATTGCTCGCAGTGTAAGAACTGTGGATGTTGCGCGGGTGTGCACTGTGTGCAGATGCTGTGTGCATATGTGTCCTACGTCTAGTAAAGCCGATTATGACATTGCGTCATCGTGGCTTGCTAGTGCGTGGCTGGTGACACGGGGTGCTACTCACGTACTGAGCGATACTGACGGGGACTCGCGCCCAGCTTCGTCGAGCCTGGGAAGCTCGGGATCTTGGACACCGAGCTTGGTCGCGCTAACGTGCTTTTGTTTTTTGTTTTTGGCGGGGGAGGGGGGGTGCGGCCAGGATCGGACTGGCCCTTTTGATCCGACTCGCCCTGTCCTGGCGCGCGAACCGGACCCCCAAGCAGAGTTTGTTGATCTTAAGACGCGAATGCGCTTCACCCGTCCAACCAATTCTAAGCTGGAAAACATGGCAGCTGTCACATAGCGAAAGGAGGAACAAGCTCCTTGGTGTAGTTGTAGTATCCTTTGCAGCACAAAATCTGAAGGCAGTTCACACGGCTAGCCTGCTCATGCCCAGATCCCGCCCATTTCGAGGCGACTTCTGAGTGGCGGTGCTTTGCAGGCGCCTTGGTCGTGTCCGGCGACCCACGCAGTCCTGCCGAGATAACTTTTCACGGCATGTCGCAGCACATGGACACAGAGCAGCGCTGATGGATCAAGACTGAGCAAAACATGCTAATGCAGCGCTGTCGGTGCGTTTTTTTTTCTTCTTCCCAGTCAGGAAGATGCACATGATTGGATCTCTTGCCATGGCACAGCCAAAATGGCTTCACGGCTTCACACGTTGCTACGGGGAGGCCGGGCACGACACCCAACCGACGCAGGCTGCCCAAACTCGGGCAGGGTCTTACCATACGGAAACAAGCTAGGACGGCCAGCTCTTACAGTAGAAGACGAAGGGAAGCAGACACCAAGGAGGTTGAGCAGCTGATGATCATGATGCCCGGGGACTTGGGGTCTGAAAGCTCGGGCCAGCACCAGTCAATACTCATGATGCTCGGGGTGGGGTCTGAAAGCCCGGGCCAGCACCAGCTGATGCTCGGGGGCTAAAGCGCGGGCCATCACCGGCTGATGCTGATGATTCTCGGGGGCTTGGGGTCTGAAAGCTCGGGCCAGCACCAGCTAATACTCATCATGCTCGGGGGCTTGGGGTCTGAAAGCCCGGGCCAGCACCAGCTGATGCTCATGATGGCCGTGCCAGCACCAGCTGATGCTCATGACGCTCAGGGTTTGGGCTCTGAAAGCTCGGCCAGCACCAACTAATGCTCAGAACAGACAGTTGGGAGAGGATGCGGAGGCCGTTCCCGAAAACTGCGCAACGAAGGAACTGCCAGAGCAGCTGGTGGAACTGCGAGGAATAGATGAGAACCCAGCTGGTGGTCAAGCAGGAGCACGTAGACCTTCCCTTGGTCTGCCGAACGGGTCAGGACGGGCCGGGCGCCGTCATGGATGCCAGGTCTGCCTGAAGTTCGGCAGACCCAGCTCGTGCTTTGGAACCTCCTCGTCAAGCGACAGGCCCAGCACCTCTTGGCAGAACTCTGCCAGCTCCTCGCCAGGCTCTTCGCTGCACAGTTTTCGGGAACTCGTCTTCTAGAATCCGGTCCGGAAGGCGAGTGCTGCTCGATGTCCTGGGTGCTCAGCGGACGAACACCCTCGCGAGCCAGAGCCTCCAAGTGCTCCTTGAAGCTCGCCACCGTGCTGTCGTCAAGACGCTTCTTCGTCTTCGCCTCCTCCGCCTCATCTTCGTCAGTTCGCCGGGCTCCGATCCCCAGAGAACCTCGCCGGGCTTCGGCCAAGATGCCAGAGATGCCATTCTGCGCTTCCGCCAATGCCGTAGCCCAAAGGGTAACCCCCACAGCACAGGCCAGCTCCTATTCTTCGCTAGTATGCTGAATACGAAAACCCACATAACTTGCCATTCAACTTCTTACGAATATCAATGGCACTCATGCCACAGCATGTTGGATTCTCCGGCCAGAGCAATTCCACACTCGAAGGAAAAATGCTGAGTCAAGACTGAGCAGAGTGTGTACACTAGAAGCAAAACACCACGCAAACCTGTAAGTTGTATGTATGTATAATATAAAAAAAAATATCCGCCGACCCCAGCGGGGGGTGGCGTCAGTGAAGACCGACTGCTCCCCCCCCCAGGCACCCCCACCCCCCCCCCCCCCCCGCCCCCCCACCCCCCCCCCACCCACTCCCCCCCCACCCACCCCCCCACCCCACCCCCCCACCCCCCCCCCCCCCCACCCCCCCCCCCACCCCCCGACCCCCACCCAATGCTTTCACACAGTACAGGCCTGCTGCCTGCTTCACCCCCCTCACACTTGCAGTGCATGCCCAACCCTCGCGCCCCCACCGCCCTTAGCGCCCTGCCCCTAGCCCCAAAGATATGAATTTCGGTTTTATACAGATAGAAAAAGATAAAAGATAACTAAAAGAATCTCCTTTATCTTTTGGTCTTCATGTTTACCAAAAACTCATTATATACTTTAAAATACTATGTGTATAGATATTAATTATACATAGAACTCATTCTTTTTAAATATTTGTTGCTACAGCCCTAAACCCTAAACCCTAAATCTCGGAGCCTGTACTGGCTCTGCGGTTTGCCGGCCTGCCGCCCGCCCTCCTGTCTGGGGTCGGCGGCACTGGCGGTAGCCGTTAAATAAATATATATATATATACTTACACGTTGAAAAAGAAAGATCATCTTGGCCTGCGTACAAGCGTGCGCATCTCAAACATCCGTACAAGTAGGAATGGGCTAGGTGAAATTTGGAGAGCAATGAGAGCACAAGCCTCCATCCATCGGACCACATCGGAACCGTAATCCACAGTGCGCTTGGTAAACTTCCGAAGCTGGGCATCGTCGATGCTCTTGCCCTGGACTACGACATGGTGGCACAATGTGGCAATGCACATAAGGGCTCGTTAAGATATGCTAAGATCAAGATCTCGCCTTCCCCTTGCCATAGGGAACTATCTCGTGGCTCATGGCCTATGACCTCAGAACAAAACAGGAGGTGCCAGCAGTCTCGTGATAACGACGCCTTGGTGTTGTGGGTCTGGGCTCAGGGCTGTGTAGGGTGGGTTTCATGTCAAAGGCTACTCGACAGGGCAAATCGGAGAGGGCGACGTGCAGGTGGACGTAACAGCTGGCTGGCTTTCGGCATTTGTCGCCGCGTGTTGCCCTGTCCTATTTCTGCAGACCGAGACTCCAGCGCATTGCAAGCACCATTTGGGGGCAACACAGAAAAGCTCCCCAAACTGTTCTATGTAGACACTCCTTAAAGTTGAGTGCCGATCCCAC